AGTACTACATTGAGTATGGGCTCTAGAGCCGGGAAAAGAAATTGTTGTATTTGTAGAGCTTGGACCAACAGCTCTACCTGTTCTCCGCTCAGCAATACCTCGTACCAGTCCAGGTACATGACGTTTACCCCATAAGCGCTCGCTGGGTAAGCGAATACTAGGTATATCTTTGCGAGGTTGCCTGGGGTCTGACGTGCCTCTCTTGCTTGGCTGCTACCTTCTTGTCCACAGTATTACGAGTACGAGTAGACATCTACTGTAGCTGGCGAGTACGCCGAGGTGGTCCGCTCCAGCTAGAGAACCTTCCCCCTGTGAAAAAAGTAAATAATATATGATAATAGTAAGAATACGCTCTTCTCCCATGTTCCAGGGCCCGGGCTTGGCCCTAGTAGCTCTTCGGTCGCCCTCGTTGGGCTCTTGTGGGCTCCTGTTGGCCGTTCCGGGAGGCCGCCAATGGGTGCGCCGCTGAGGTCAAGGGTGCCCAGGGCTCTCTGGAGCTACTGCACCTGCGGGCCTTGTCACTTCTTGACGCCTCGTTCGATGTCCCTCCGAGCGGCGATAAGAAGAGCCAAAGTGGGCTGCAAGCTACAGTACGCACCACCAGCACCACTCTTTCGCGCATCCGAGAAATCCGGCCACCAGTCCCCCAAGATGCGTCTAACTGATGCCAACAGTCGATGGCATGCTCCATCTCCATGGCTGCAAAAGCTTTTGCTCTGCTGACCTATTCGTCCCCGTCCTGGCGCGATGCCTGTGTGCGTGCTCGCCCTCATCCGATGACTCGCGCGGTGGCCTCCAAGACCGCCCTCAAAACTCTTTTATAGTCACCCGTGACCGCCGCATGTGGGAAGTCCTTGTATTTGCTCTCTCTCTCTCTCTCTCTCTACTGAACTCTTGCCCTCTTGTGCACTAACACCACCCTCGCCTTGGTGTCTGATCCCTCGCGCCGCGTTGCCTCGTCCCAACCAACCTCGCTGTCGTCCCCCTCACTGTCACACCCTCCTCCCCTCCTGGGTCGCATTCGGTCCTACTGCCTGCCATTGATTCCTAACCCCACCCTCACTTCCTGAACGAAACAAGCTGCCAAGTCAGGTGGGCGTCGGTGTAACAGAAGGAGCATTGGAGACCTTCCAAACAAGTGTGAGCCGGATGGGTCTGTCGAGATGGGCCATTGCAGCAGCGCTGCTCCAACTCGCCTCAGTTGTACTGGCTCATGGTCACGATGAGGAGAACCATGATATGGATATGAAGAAGCCGGAAACTCCCCAGAATGGCGGGGACGAGAACGATCCATATAGCATGCCCAGCTACGCCGGCCTGGGCCAGCACCAGAATATGATCACAGCGCATATTGTCCTGATGGTGTTAGCATGGTTTTTCATTCTTCCAATTGGTAAGTTGGCCAGGACGTAATGTGGCGAGACAAAATGTTCCTGACCGGAGTAGGCGCCATTTTCAGCATTGCTCGATCGAAACTCGCTCTTCCAGTCCAATTTCTCTTCCTGATCGTCAACGGCTTTGGGCTGCTGTTTGGAATTGTGTACAACGTCAACACTCCGGATTTGTATGTGCACAATGCCCACCACAGAATTGGCTGGATCGCTACCTGGATCATGACCGCACAGGTCATTGCGAGCCTGTTGTTCGCCTATTCGCGGAGAGGCAAGCAATCCTCAGCTCCAGCCGGCGAGAGGGCGGCGTTTCTCCCGGTTTCTGTTGAGAATATAGCCCAGCATAACAGGCGGCCACCTTATAGTTCCTACCGCTGGTCTGGCGACAGCGGCCAAGGCACTGATACTTCCTCGACACTGCACAGCCGGGACGGGTCTCCCACGGTTGTGGGCCGACGAGATACGTTCGATGATTTCGAGAAACCCGAACCTCTCCCAGAATCGGAAGACGACGATGACCTGCAGTTGCCGCAGCAGCCTAGCGAGAAGTCTCGCTGGTTGCGCATCAGCTTCATCGATAAGTACCTGTCCGCTCGGATCCCGAATCTGGTCTCATCTCAGATTTTGCGAGTGGTCGAGATTGTGTACAATGTGGTCGACAGATTGATTCTGGTCCTTGGTTTCATCACTTTGATAACCGGCTTCATCACATACTGTGGTCTTTTCGTGAGTATTTCCCTAACTGCGCCCCTCCCACTGTGGGGCGCAGTCAGCAATTCAGGAGCCCACGCAGAGACTGACCTTGTCTGAACAGAGAGCAAACAATGTTTTCACGGGTCTCGCGCATTTTATCAAGGGAGGAATTTTCTTCTGGTACGGATTGCTCACCCTTGGACGATGGATGGGTTGCTTTGCCGATCTGGGCTGGGCTTGGAATCTTAAGCCGACCCGCAGCGAAGTCGGCCAATGGAAGTCGAAAATCCCTTCGGCTGAATTCACAGAATCCTTTGTCATTTGGTTGTATGGTGCGACCAATGTCTTCCTGGAGCATCTTGCTGCTTGGGGTGGCGAGTGGACGGCACAGGACTTTGAACATGTCTCGATCGCCATCATGTTCTTTGGAGGTGGATTGGTGAGCTGCTTTTGTCTCTTGTTTCCCTTGGAATCCCTCGGCTAACGCAGTTTGCTAGTGCGGTATGCTTGTCGAGTCCAGCATCGTGCGACGTTGTCTCAACACCGTCGTCGAAAACATGCCCGCCCGAACAGAGGTTCATCCCAGCGAAGCACTGGAACTGCGCGATACCCCGAAACAGTACACTACTTCTCTCAACCCTATGCCCGGCTTGGTCATTATCCTCCTGGGGATCATGATGTCCTCGCATCACCAGGACTCCATGGTGTCTACCAAGGTACACTCACAATGGGGCACACTCCTGGTCGGCTTCGGTGTCGCTCGGATTTGCACGTACCTGATCATGTTCCTCTCTCCACCAAAGTCGGTCTATCCCACCCGGCCGCCGACCGAACTGGTCGCATCCTTCTGCTTGATCAGTGGCGGGATCATCTTCATGGCCAGTGCCCGCGACATCATCCACTATATGGAGACGACAGGTCTCATGGCCATGTTCGTTCTCACCGTTACGTGTGGGTTCACGGCGTTCGTCATGGCATATGAGATCATCGTGCTTTGCCTCAAGGGCTGGGCCATGAGGAGAGAAAACAAGGGCTCGGCTCCCAGATTTTGAAGACTTAACCGTGTTCCGTGCAGTGGTTTTCTGGTTTGACTGTGTCAATCGAAGCCCTGCAAGTAATAGTCAAAAGCCCTCATCCCCAATCAACCAACAACTCGCATGACTTGAAGGAGTTCTCAGGACCTCGAATCAAGCACCACCCCAGACCTGCCGATGCTTTTACGTTTATACAGCTTCTTACGATCTTTACCTTGCTGGACGGCTCTTCGCACCAAGCATAGCTTTGCGGAAGACGATACCCTGCTATAATGATGATTTTACGACACGTCCCGAGTTTTGGAGAGACCTAATGAGGACGCGGAAGGAAGGAAAACCCCCGATGGAGGAGGTTTATCGTTATTGTCATCTGCTTTCAAAAACGCACGATACCCCTGTTACAGACGCCGCACGCGCCGGTCACGTTCTGCGTCCATCAGCACTGCCACAGGCGTCCGCGCATCCAGTGATACCCCCCCGAATCCATAGAGTACCGCAGCTAGGGATATAACTAGCTAGCTGGTTTTTTGTTTATAGTTGCAGTGGAAAACACTGCCTGACTGCTTCGACCCGGATCCGGGCAAGCTAATAATCAGAGAAGACGATTCATAGCTAGGTTCTATCTCTCTCTTCTCTCGTGACATTTTCCTTGCAGCCGCTTTTTCAAAATGCATCATCCAGTCCAGAGGCTGCCTTGAACTAGGGGAGACTGGCTTCGTGGAGGAGTATCGCCTTTGAGAAATCTCAGATGAGAAAATGTTGAAGAAAAACAGATACCTTTGTGCTTTTTCACAATTCAATGGGGGATCTCACTGCTAATTGTGAGTCGATGCTCCGAGCTGTGGCATGTCGACACACTCTGTCTGTGGTCTAGCATCAGTGAGGAAATCCATAAGATAGATGACCGAGTCGGGAAAATGGCAATATGGATCGAGCTCGCCATGCGCAAGGCTTCAAATAAAGCCGAAGGTAGACCAGGTCATGCTGCACAGGAGAATAAGGTCACTCAATCACGCCTGGAAATTGTCGAGGGATCAGGTCCAAAGCACCTTTCCAGAGTCTGCACGGTCGATGCTTGTGTGGTGCGAGAGACGGAGACAGGGTCGGGATTGTGACATGGTTTGAGCATCGTCATTCGACATGATGGGCATTACCATTTCAAGTGTTCATTTCCATACAAGCCAGAAAGACAGCCTTCCAGTGTGGTCACCGGAGAAGCTGCGTCTGAGGCGGACAGGCAGTGGCGCTGTGTCGATGAAGTGAACCATCGGCTAGAAACCAGAGTCACTGCATGTACCACGCGTAGATTGATCTGCCGCATCTTGGACATGACCGGTATACCTCGACAAGCAACAACTGGCTGGCTCTTTTCAATCATTGTGTATAACGCGGCGCTCATCGCGTGTATGACGGCGACGCGGTTGGCCGCAGGACATAGACAAACTCTCTCGTTGTTTCATCCCCAACATCTGTTCTCTCGAAGCGATGGACAAGAGCCATTGCACGCGGGAACATTACAAGATGAGGCCCAAAGGAAAGAAAAGGCCAGGGAGAGTGGAAGCCATGCAAGTCATGGCAACTAATTTCAGTGGGATCGACAGGCAATTTCTCCGCAGGGTGCAATATTAGGCTCTAGCCTCCAGCACGGATTCGTCAATGATTCTTCAGGCACGAGACACTACATTTCTAGTCTTACAGTCAATTGTGTTCCCCGGATTATGGCGTACAGCCACTTGAACTACACTTCCACGCCTTGAAACCCTGAGGTTCGTATGTTGTCGACGAGCTGCCATTCCCTCCATCGAGTCTAACCTCTGACAGGCATTGAAGTGCCCGCTGGAGCCGCTGCCCACACCAACATCTCCCTGTGCCTCGCGCCAGAATGGCAGTACCTCGAGTGGTGCCTCGAATAACGACCAACAGCCTCCCTCTACCTACCCGATTAATCCAGCCATCACGTATACGATCCTACGTTCTACGTCTCCCTCTCTTCACCCGCCTCATCCTCGTCGCTATTGTGGCGTTCTGGATACTCGAACTGCAAACCGTCTGGAGCGTGATAAAATGGGGTTCACTGGAACCCAAAGAAATCAATCTGGGGAGCATGTACAGGCTGAACACCTTTGTCTTGATACACACGGGGTTCTGGCACATGTTGATCAATACCATCTGCCTGATGCCTCTGCTCGAGAGGTTCGAAGCTGAATTTGGCACGCTGAACAGCATTGCGTTATTCATGGGTCGTAAGTGTCATATGCTTTCTTTGAAAGAACATGCGGCTCGGATGGCTCGGATTCCATGGGGGAGTGGCTGCTTATTCTTATCACAGCGTTGGGCCAGATACCTGCGGTTTTATATTTGATAATGGACGGCGTTATCCTCAGAGACAATACGCCAGTTCTCGGATCAAGGTATGGACAGCTATGCCGCCCGGCACAGAGGACAGGCTGACATGGACACGTAGTATATGGGTGTTCCTTCTTCTTGCGGCCGAGGCCATCAAAACATATCGGGCAAATCCATATCTTGAGTAGGTCTTCGTCTGATCCCCCTTCTACGCCGAGGAAGGCAACGAGCATCTCTACAAGCTGCTGACAACTGAACAGGATCGGAGACCAAAAGATACCAACTTGGATATCACCACTAGTGATACTGGTCGTGACGTCTATCCTGATTCCCAGCGCTTCCTTCCTTGGACATCTCAGTGGATGTATAACGGGATATCTGTGTACGTAGCCATGCTCTTCACTCGAATCCCTGTTTGCTACATTGAGCCACCTGAGACTAATTACCATCTAAATAGGGGGCTTGGGCTATATTCGTTTCCTCGCACCTCCGGAGAAAGTCCTTCGCTGGATCGAAGGCAAACTCAATCTACTTGGACGACTACCGCACTATGTGTCTGTGGACCAGAAGACTTATGGTCGATATGGCGTTCTCCCCACAAGTTCAACCAGCGGACCAGATGGCCATATGAGCCCTATCGGACTCGGTTGGATGGGTACCAGCAGCGAAGGGCAGAGGCTTGGGCCATAACCCTCTACCAGCCCTTCTGACGATTTCGACTTCGGGAAAATTGTGTTAGAGAAGCACGGTACCTTGGACAGTTGGATCGAGCTCAAATTGGATAAACGGAGCGTCATGTCTGTGGACAGGTTGCCCGGTGTACTAGTAGCCAGATTTGTAAATGGTTTAATGAAGACAAATACATGAGACTTTTGAAATACCACTTCCCTGTACAGCCTGCGTCAGTGGAGGCGCGAGACGCGCATAATTGGCGGCTAATCTTCGGCGTCGTAGGAACTGTCCAGATCTCCTTGAACACATTCACATCGCCCCTCGACATTGTGAGTACAAAGGCCTTGCCGTGAAGCCATCAATGAGCTGAGCAAGGTCGAGATGGGCCTAATACGTAAGTGCATCATTGACTATTCAAAAAGCCTCTAATACGACTGATTTGCTAAAGGAGTGGCTTGACAGGAAACCTCGCCTCAAGTCTCCGCAAGGACGACCCCCGACTGCTGCGAATCCCACCGTATTTGTCCCTGCTGTGCATGATCGTCGGCATTGCATGGATCCTGCCCTTGCCTTTACAGGAATACTCTCGACAGACATACATCTCAGAAAATGCCCTCCTTCCCGGCCAGGTCCACACTTACTTCGGCGGTAGCGAACAAAACGTTTTCCGCGCATATCGACACGAGTTGGCTACGATTCTGGAGGGTGGTGTGAAGGCTGCTGGCAACGAGACCTTGGACAAATCAGAACAGAGAGCTTGGGAGGCTCGTACCAGTGAAAAGATAGGAGAGCTCTTCCGAAACGCGGGCCTGAAGACTGCAAAGCAACGGTATTCTTATACGTCGTCTGGCCAGTCTTACGACGGAGAGAATGTCTATGCCGTTCTGCACGCGCCGCGCGGTGACGGAACCGAAGCAATTGTGCTTGTTGCGCCGCTCCGAAACATCGATGGTGTCCCCAACGTGAATGGTGTGCCGCTGTTGATTTCTCTGTCGCGGTATTTCAAACGATGGTCACTGTGGTCCAAGGACATCATATTCCTGGTCACACCGGACAGTACCACAGGGCCTCAAGCCTGGATCGATGCGTATCATTCTACCCATGATCCATACAACGTGGAAGACCTGTCGCTAAAGTCTGGTGCACTTCAGGCTGCTGTCTGTATCGACTATCCTTTCGAACATCGCTTCGAGACCCTTCATATTGCATACGACGGCATTAACGGCGCTCTACCCAACCTCGATCTTTTCAATACCGCTGTATCTATCGCATCGGGGCAGATGGGAATTGGAACCTCTATACAATTTCAACACACCTACAGCAATCATGAGCAGTACAACTCGTACCCTGTCCGCCTCCAAACTCTCGTCCGCGGAATGTCAACACAGGCCCTCGGCCATGCAACTGGTCCCCATTCTACCTTTATGACGTATCATATTGATGCTATCACCTTGACAGCGACGAATGAGGGTTGGCAGGACGAGATGGCGTTTGGGAGGACCATCGAAAGTATTTGCCGAAGTCTCAACAATCTACTTGAGAAACTGCACCAGAGCTTCTTCTTCTACTTGCTGATGCAGTCAAATCGATTCGTCAGCATCGGAACGTATTTGCCAGGTGCGATGATCATGGCGGCCGCTTATACGATTATGGCAATCTACCTTTGGGTATTGAGTGGCTATCAAGTTGCTGAGAAAGAAGCAGAGCCGGTGGCCGGCAAGTTGGAAAATGGGACAACAGAGAAGACAGGTGTTTCGGAACCACGAGTATCAGTGGCGAAGGGGTCCCAGCCCAAAATCGAATTCAAACCAGTGGACCGACAACTCGTCCTACCAATCGCTCTCCTAACAGCGATACACCTGGCGTCTCTTCTCCCACTATACCTCCTTACTTCGCTGAGCCTCAAAGCCATACCCTCAACATTTTTTCTCATGACGGTTGCTCTGGTTGTGCTCCCTATCGTTCTAGCATCAGCGCTTGCTGAAATGCCCAACAACACCACCTTACCTACCTTTTCCGCGCCTACCAACGAGCAGTACGTTCTAACCAAATCACTAAGCCTTTTATTGCTTGGGCTGTCTTTGACGGTCCTCGCAACCCTGAACTTCAGCCTCAGCATGTTTCTGGGTATTGTTTGCATCCCACTGGCCTTTGTGGACAGAACTCGCTCCAGGGCAGGACTGTCACTTTTCCAGTACTTGATACTTGTTGTCATGAGTCCTATGGGACTGGCAATTGGATTGAGCGCGTATGGTGTCTTTGTGCTGGGACGAGATGATGTTCTTGTCGAGTGGGTACAGCGGCTCGCCCTGGGTTGGAACATCTGGGGCAGTTGGGGGGTCCCTGTGGGTGTTTTGTGTATTTGGTTGCCTGCATGGATTGTGGGTGCGACTTTGGTGGCCAGCTCTTGGTTTACAACGACAGAGACGACACAAAGTCCGCCAGACGTCAAGAAGGTGTCATCAAAATAAGCGTCATGACTGAGGAAACACCCCTCAGGACAGGGAAAATCCAGGCGAAAATGAAAATGGTTTTGAGTCGTAGGAACTCGATTCATTGAGCGACAAGATTGCTACGTCTCGACATCTGAACAACTGCAGTGCCCCACTCAGCTGCACGAGATCGGAAGTTTCCAAATCATAGATGCAAGAAGCTGGACGCATCTCGAAAGTGGTCATTCTCGAGGGTGATCTCTCGTGATACAGTCTCCAAGCAGGCCAGGCTGCAGCTGATTCCACCTCATCTCTAAGAGCCTGGTGTCAGTACGTCTCGGTGCCTTTTAGCACTGAGGCTTGTATTCTCGTAAGAATCGAGCTGGCGCAAGGCTGGAATTTATCAATCCACCAATCGGTTGAGCTGGTCACAATGACATCCTGAGTGTCAGGATTTCCTGACTAGTGTCCTAATCAGGTACGCCGATATGATCATCTAATTATTGCCGCGGGAGTCCAAAAACGGTGTTTTGGAAAACACCTCCTCTTTGCTACGGGGTATAGGCGAATTGTAGCGACACGGTCTCCAGCACCATTTACTTTGGTCCTTGGGGTCGAGCCGTGCGAGCTCAAGCATTTGACAAGTCGACATCGTGCAGAATCTAGAGGCGTACTCGTTTGTATACAAGTATACTCTATTTTGTGAATCACTGCTTTTTATACCAATCCTGCCTTTTTGCTTGTCAATAGTAATATCTTCCCAAACCCGAGGCCTCCTTCGGACAGGAATCGTCCCTCCCCTCCCCTCTCTTTCGTTCCCGCGCGCCCTTCCTCCTGACTGCACCGCGACCCTACGAGCAACAGAGCGGACGCAATGTCATCGGACAAATCGCCTACTGCCGAGAAAGTCGACCATGGTCGCTGTCTTTGCGGAGCCGTGACGTTCACGGTCGTGGGCGAGCCGATCTATAATGTCGTGTGTCACTGCGAGAATTGCAGGTGCGTGGGGTCATCTCGCTTTGTCTTGGACTTCGTTCTTCTTTCTTCGTGTGGCAATCCCGGGAATCTGGCACGTTGGTTCCTGTGGGATGGAGTTGGTCCAGGATAGGGAACGGTTGTGGTGGTTAGTCAGTATGAGGGTATGAGATAGGGAAAAGACGCAACGAAGATCGCGAAAGAAGTCGAATATTGATCAACCATCCCGCGGGGGGGGGGGGAGGGGGGGGGAACTGACGTCCTCGTTCCGGAATACGTGCGAGAAGTAGGTGAACAAAGCTGACCCTCGGTGCGAAATAGACGACAGGGTGGAAGCACATTACACTGTGCAAGTATCTTTCCGAAGAAGGTGAGTCTCCTTATGCCTCCCACCGTCCACCTTTTCCCCAAGCCGCCCATGAATGTCAAGGCTGCCCTATATCCCATGGATCCGCCTCCAAACCCACCCCTCCACACACGCGCGCACATATATGTTACATACCTTTTCTAACCACCCCTTGCCCGCTTGCCCGCTGGTAGCAATACACCCTGCACACCGGCTCCGAGCACATCACCACGTACGCCGACCACGCGACGCAGTCGGGCCTCCCGCTCTCGCGCGCCTTCTGCAAAATCTGCGGCTCCAAGGTCTACTCCCTGACGCCGCTCAACGACGACATCGTCTCCCTGCCCGCGGGCGTGTTGGACGGCGTCACCACCAACTGGGTGCCCCATAAGGAGCAGTTCTGCGACGTGCGCTGCGCGTGGATCCCCGAGGACTTGGGCGGCGAGGGCGTGCGGGAGAGGTTCAAGAAGGGGCCGATGGGGGAGAGGGTCGAGGCGGGACCTGGTAAGTTGTAAGGGAGCGAGAGCGAGGGACGTGTTCTGGGGGATGGGATGGTGATGAGGACGGGGACAGGATAAGGAGATTGAGGTCTCTGAGGATGTACATATGTATATTGGTGGAGGGCGAGGCCATCGGCTTCTGTCGGAGGACATCTAAAATGGAGGTGCTCAAGGAGGTGTGTTAAGAGAAGATGTACACATGTAGTCAAGATGTAACCCGTTATGGAGCATATGGCTGGCCTGCCTCAAACAGGTCGCTGTACATTGATGGCTCGAACATATAACAATCGTTAGTGTGCACGTACACGGCCACCTTCTCCAGGTGAATGTTGTGTCTGCAATCCGCGGTCTATTCAACATGTTCGAACTGTACGCATCGACTCAATGACAAACTTTATGTATCGGAATCACACCTCAGACATAGATACCTAGCACGGATCAAATGCCAATATCCCAGAGCATGTTCAGGGCAACTCCAGGACGGGTAATCAGAGCTTGCTTCCTCCTTTGGCGTTCTGTTTCTGCATCTCTCGGTTCTTCTCCGCCATCTTCAACAGGGCATATAAACTCTGCATCCGCGGCATCTCGTACCCTTTCTCCCGCGCGAGCCGGATCGGGTTTCCCAAGATGACCTCCAGCTCCATGAGCTTGCCCGCTTCCCAGTCGAGCAGCATGCTCGGTTTGCTCCCGCTCGTGTTCCTGCGCGTCGACCGAAGGATCTGTTCGGCGGTGGCGAACCCGGCGGGGAACGGCTTGCCGACGACCTTGGGCGCGGTCGTGAGCACCTCGTCCATCACACCCTGCAGATGCCTCGATAGCTCGGGGTCATTGGACATGGCTTCATTGGTCGAGCCGCCCGACAGCACCGCCGAGGGATTCATGGATGCGTTGATGGCGATTTTGTGCCACCGGACCAGCTGGAGCTTCTCGTGCGTGTCGGCAATAGCATCCTTGATGCCTCCCTTAAGGAGCAGGTCGACAAAGGTTTGGTTCTGGGCCGTCGCTTTTGTCGTCACAGCAGCTGAGGGATTCGACTCCGAAAAGTACGGGCCCACGTTTATCCGCGTCCAGCGATTGTGTTTGATGTGGCCGTTGGAAGGCTGTGCGCAAGAAGCAATCGTCACGGCACTGAGGATAGTGGATTGAGGGAAACGTTCCACGTAGGGCTGCTCTACACCCAGACCGTTCTGGATCAATACAATCGCCGTGTTGGCACTGACCAGGCCTTCCAGTAGTTTCGAGTCGTCCGACACGTTGGGCAATGCCTTGGTGCTGACCACGACAAAGTCCCAGTTGACGCCGCTTCTACGGGCTGAATCAGGAGAGTTAAATGTCCGGGTCGGCGTCCATGTATAGTCTCCATATTGAGGAGACGTTATCTTGAAGCCATTGGCCTTGACAGCCGAGTAGTTTGAACGACAGACGACTGAGACATTGGTGTTGGCGATTCGAGCCACTCGGGATGCATAGAATGCCCCAATGGCGCCAGCGCCAAAAAACAAGACCTCGAGGGGCATCTTTGTGGAGGAGAGCAGGGAAGGGGAGGTTGAAGAGAGAGGCAATAGAAGTCTCACGCGGATATACGTAAGGTGATATACACTTAAGATTGAGGTTGAGCATTGATGCCGAGGAAGGTCGCCGCCTCAATGATTTACCGGAGTCATTGGAGATCGACAGCCACCAAAGCACCGCCTCATAACCAGCCACACACACTAGCCACTAGTATCCACTAGCAGCCACTCGCAGCCACGTGTTGGCGCCACGTCAACGCTCTCCGCCCCAAGTGACCATCGTCCACTGTGCCATGATCCTATCCGCGTCAGCTTCTCAGGCAGACGGATTTGAAACAGCAGCTGAATATCCAGCTTCCATGTCACCAAGTGACCCTGGTGCACACTTCTGGGTGAGATTGTGACTTGCTCATATAAAGCCTGCTTCTCAACAAGGGCATGCTCCTGTTTCTTTCATGCCTTTGCATCGTCCTCCTGTCTCCGTATCTATCCTTGACTCAGTTCATCCCGCAACTTGACCTAGACCAGCCTTACCACACAATGGGTGGCGGACACGGCATTCGCTCAGTCGTCTACTACGTGAACTGGGCACCTTATGCACGCAATCATCACCCTCAAGACCTCCCTGCCGAGAATCTCACTCACGTCCTCTATTCCTTTGCCAACATCAAACCTGACAGTGGAGAGGTTTATTTGACAGATCCATGGTCTGACACTGACAAACACTACGATGGCGACAGCTGGAACGACTCGGGGACGAACGTGTACGGGTGCGTGAAGCAGCTGTTCCTCTTGAAGAAGAGAAACCGCAACCTCAAAGTGCTATTGAGTATTGGCGGCTGGACCTATTCCTCAAACTTTGCACAGCCAGCCAGCACATCAGCCGGCAGAAGAAAGTTTGCAGAAACGGCCGTCAAACTGCTGGAAGACCTTGGATTCGACGGCATCGACATCGACTGGGAGTACCCCAAGAATGAAAGTGAGGCGGAGGACTACGTCAAGCTGCTTCAGGAGACCCGCCAGGCCCTCGACGCAGCAGCTTCCAAGCGTCACCATACCAGGTTTTACTTGACTGTCGCCTGCCCTGCTGGTCCCTCCAACTTTGAGAAGTTAAAGATTGCCGAGATGGACCGCCTGCTCGACTTTTGGAACCTGATGGCATATGACTATGCCGGCTCGTGGGATCAGCGAGCGGGACACCAAGCAAATCTATTCCCTTCCCAGTCCCACCCTCAGTGTACGCCATTCAGCACGGTGGCTGCCATTGAACATTACACTAGGCACGGAGTACATCCGTCCAAGATTGTCTTGGGAATGCCCCTGTATGGCCGAACCTTCATGTCGACCTCTGGACCCGGACATTCGTACAATGGGGTGGGGGAAGGAAGCTGGGAGCAGGGTGTCTGGGATTACAAAGCACTCCCGAAACCAGATAGCACCGAGCACCACGATCGCGAAATTGGAGCCAGCTGGAGTTACTGCCCTTCTTCGAATACCATGATCAGCTATGATACACCTGACTTGGTGGCTCAGAAAGCAAACTTTGTCCGAGACTATGGCCTAGGAGGTGGCATGTGGTGGGAAAGTTCAGCCGACAAGGCGGTTGGGCAGGGTAGCCTGATCGAGACGTTTCTGGTGCAGAGTGGTGGGCCAAGTCGACTGGAAGAGGTTAAGAACTGCTTGGAATACCCCGAGAGCAAATACGACAACCTGCGGAACAAGTTTGAATGAGGTCAAAGGCATCACCTGCTGTTGTTAGGTGGATATTGAGGCGTTGACAAGCAGGCATCTACATCGGAGTGGAAGGCAATCGACAGATAAACAAATGAGTTTATCGTCTTTCGGAGTCATTGTCAAGAAATGGACTCCGTAGTCATGGACGATCGCTTGTCTTAATGCAATCGACAGGGCGTCCAGCCGCGTTTTGTGTAACCTGGAGGCACGTCGGTGGGTACATATGATGAAAAGACCCATTGGAGAGTCGAAGAAAAGCTGTCGGTCAATTGTTGATGGATTCGGTATTGGCAAGCTTAGACTGGCACCTTGACATGTGAGCAAAAAATGAATCTGTCAATGTCAGTTTGCTAAAGGAGTGTATGTATGAACGTCGTAATGAGCAGCCCCTTTACTATACACCCACCACACCCTCATCCCCTTAGCGCATGTGTCCGTCAGAAAGTGAAGCCCGTGCCAAACTGTGCAGAAAGACACACCACCAACCCTACAAGGTTACTAGACAGGTACTGGACCCTTTTTTCTCTCTTCTGCCGCTCCCATGGCCTTGGGGTGTGATTGGTGGCTTTATGCTGCTTCCGCTGCTGCTACAATAAGGTTGATTGTCGCTGGGTGGGATGGAATGGCCCATGATGGTACGGAAAGCATGCGTCGCGCCCTCGCGCCCTTCGCCGCCCCTTAGCGAGCCGTCGGCCGTGCCAAACCTTTTCCTCTTTGTCGACAAGTCCCCGTGTCCCTAACACGAAGAGACCCAGACCAGCGGGGGCCTGGCGATGGCGATGGCGCTGGCGCTGGATGGCGAAGGGGGGTTTTCGAGCAGCCTGCGAGCTCCTCGTAGAGATCTGCGAGATTGACATTGCCTCTGTGCCTGTCTGCAAAACTACCAGGACCACATTTGTCCGATCTACCTATCTCCCAGTACCTACCTACGGAGTACGGTAGATCCTATCCATACGGAGACATATCACATACCACTAGCTAGCAACAGCACAAGTGGCTCCTCTTTAGGACTTAGAAGATCATCCCCAGTCCGTGACGTATGTATTCGTAAGGAGGATGTACATACTACCTCGTACACATCCAACGACGTCCCTCACCATCCATCATAATCAAGAGTACCAAAAGTCGATTTTACTTTTGTTTTTTTGATGGGTCCAGACTCCAAGACCTGGGCCGTCTCGCCATCTCTTCGCAAGCCACTTTTGTCATTGTCACTTGCCAACAAAAACGTGTTTCTGTCTATCATCTTGGCGATCTGGGAAAAAAAGGGGGGGTGGAGGAAAGCGTGCAGGGGTGGACAGTTTCTCCCCCAGGCGGACTTTGCAGGGCTCCCAAGGGCCAAAAGCCAATGGCCAAGGTCCGCAACTAACTACTGTAGGTATACTACGAGAGTCGAGGTACTACCTACATACTATTGAACGCCCACACACACCTTGCTATCAGGTATTATTACGAGTCGAGCGAGGATCTCTTTCGAGTCAAGCACCACAAGTGTCTATCTGCGCAAACATCGTCCTCAGTATCGTCGGGAAGTTCCCGTTGCAGACAAGGATGTTTGCACACTTCCTCGATCGACCGTCTCCCTCCTTCCGCGCACATGTAAAACCGGACAAGAGAGTTCCCATGGCTGTGGCGAAATGGCGAGGTGAAGAAAAACTTTATTGTTTGATAGCTCTTCGAGGAAGAACGTGGCAGGGAGGGTTATTTGACCTGCCACACCTGTCAAGCCTGCAGTACGAGTGAACAAGGGAATCCCAGGATGCACACTCACAAAGAGAGAGAAAGCGTACCAGGTAGCCGGATCCTGGGGTCTGGAGAAGAATAACCAAAACCAAAAGGCAAAGGCGAAACGCTCGTGTTTGAGACCGTGCTCTAGCCAACTTCAAGGCTCATCTGAAACTTGGACTCGAGCACCCTCATACTTCTCGTAGGTACATACTTGGGACATACGAATCCCAAACAAACCCTTTGGACTTGACCCCTGCACATGCTCCACGCTCCACCTGAGCTGGGTCACCATCAACCAACCACCCCTTACCTTGTAGGTACGAGGCGTCGAGGACTCTGTACCTTGTCACCAGTTCGTGAGATGCCGTGAAATCCACTGTTAGCGCTGCAAAACACCACACAGATACGGGCTTCCTCAACCCTTGCTCTACAGGTTCTCTCATCTGCAGTGGCTGATCCAGATCGAGACAACCCAACAGCTACCGGGAGTTCGTTTGCCAAATATGAGTAGTACGACCTGAACGACCTTTCTTCCCCTCGTATCTCTAGTACAACTACAGTCAAGGCTCGGAAGTTTGCCTCCCAAGCCATCAAGTCGCACACCATGTTACGAGCTATCTTTCAGTAGTCAGGAACATCTGAGGCCCAAGCTTGCGGATACCAAAGTCCTATTGGGTAGTCAGCCCGAGCTTGGTCTGCCACGGCCGCTCTCCTTGCATGCACGAGGTTATCTGACATTTGATGAGCATTTCCGGGAGAGGGTATCAACAAATTAACATGCCGGCCAAAATGAAATATCCAAATTTACGAGAGCACCAAGGGCAACCGAGAGCACATTCTGGCAGAGCTCGCAAGACTCCTGCGTGGGAGGATCAAGGAGGGCGCAACAAAGATGTACGTGCACAGCGATGGTGGCGGGCCATTGATCGGCAAGGATCATGTCGAGGCGGTAGATTTGCATCTGATCGTCCCATTCTAAGATGTTTCTGTCTCCAGTGTGAAGAGAAACAAACTCGTTTGACCCAGAACAACCATGCACCCGTCTTCACCGTCCCGTAAACTTAGAACTCCTCATCTCAACCTTGCCTGCCTCCTGGTCTTGGAGCCTGGAAGCAGCCTCGGAAAGTCAAAGGGGGAGAATAGGATTTTGGGATGCGCTATGGCGGTGGTGGCTTTCACGAGGTGGTCAGCGTCTTTGGACGGATTGGGTTGGATGGGCTTCTTTTGGCGGTTGAAGGCTTTGGGAGAGCAAGGATGCAGACCGTTCATCCGGAGTCAGTTGACTTTCAGATTTACCCCTGAAAGGCACAGAAGTGGAAGGGATGGGAGAAGAGCAGGCGAGGAGATCAGAGCCAACCCCGCCAAGCTGCGGGAGACCTAACCAGAGCGAGATAGGTTTCCTAGGTAGCTGGTGTCGCCTAAAAGTCAACTCCGTCAGGTACCTTGGGTGCTTGGTCACTAACTCGCACATCACCGGGAGGAGTCCACCCTCTTCCACCCTTTCCACCACCTGTCCACCTGTTCCACCCTCTTGTCATGGAGCCCAGGGTAAGCCCGCTAGCCTGTAAATGCTCATCAGAGACACACTTCTCCATACCCACGCCCACCCTCCACCACCGCTGCCATGACTGCCTGTCCTGGCCACGCCTTTTTTATCTCCTTCTCGTTACCACTACCAAGTCTATTGCCAGATTATACTCCGTAGGTACTCGTAGTCTAAACGCCCCCCTCTCCCTCTTCCCCTCTCCAGGCACTTGAGGCCACCTCTTAGTTTTAACTGGCATGCACCCCAGGGCTAGGGGCAGGAATTTTCCAAGCCATCTCGCTCTTCCATTTCCAGGCTCTCGACCCAAAAACCTACCACCACCACTACAAGTACTCGAATAGAAACCCGCCGCGACCATCCAATCTAGAGCCCACTCTCTTCTTCTCGCCATTCCTCCCTCTCCCTCCGCGACTTGTTCCTGTCCCTCATCTATCCACTCATCCACACTTCCACCCATCCACCATTCCAGAAGAAACCCAGACCTCCATCAACTGGTCCCGACGCCCTGACACCCTCCTCAAACATTCCCCCCCCTTATCATTTCTGACCATCCAGCTGCAGTCCACCTCCCTCCCTTCATTCGTCCACGCAGCTTGTTCCTGGTTCCTGACAGACTTCTGTCCAACACCCGCTCCTTGCCTTACCGTTCGCTCGCTGCCACTCCTCTTATCTTCACCCTAATCACCAACCAACGTCTTCCAACGCTTCCTTCAACCCGCCCTACCTCTGTTGTGTTGTTGCCATCTGCTGTCGCATTCTTCGAGCCGAAATCCTTGACCTGCGCCGCCAGTTCATAGGGCGCCTGCACACAGCTCAACCCACCAGACCTTCCTCTTCTACGCCCATCTCGAACTCCCGCACCCCGCCGGTTCATTCACGAAGACCTCAGCTTTCCGCGTCTCACTGTTCAGGATATCTGTAATCTCTGTCGGGTGGAGCTTTCTGGCTTGTGTTCGTTCAAAATCTGCATCTTGACAGAAGAAGGGAGAAAGAGATTATTTACATCACTCTCGCGCCGGTCGCATTGGACGTTTTCCACCCCCAGTCAAAACTTCAACACAAATAATACTGCAATCTGCCCTTTCTAGCCCGATATTTCCAATCCGTCCGCGTCTGCTCCCGGGTGGAAACGATTGTGCATCACCGATCCCAGATGACCTGCAGCCCGTTCTGAAACACGGCCGACGTCACAATATCATACAACCCCCGAGTTGTATATAGAGTTCACGTCCCGCTTTGAATTCTGTTGTCCGGCACATAAAGAGTAGATGAGCTCTTCCCTCCGTTCCGACGTGCCCAGGCGTGTCTCCAGCGCAAAGGACCGCTCAAGGTCGCGTCGATCCAAGCAGGGCGCTGACATGGCGGTCGCAACCATGCTTCAGCCGGCCTCACGAGCCTCGACTTCGACCAACTCCTCCTTCGAACCTGTCAGCCGTACCAACACCTTCTCCAGCCACGATGGCGCTCGGTCCTTGCGACAGAGCAAACGGGTTAGCATGACCGCGCTCTATGCGAGTATGAGCGCAAAAGACAAAGATTTGGAAATCAGCGATGACCTCGCACGAGCACAGCGCTCGCTCAGGGACTTGAAGGTCAAGATTTCAAACCAGTCCAAGAAGAATTTTGTCCTCGAGAAGGACGTCCGCTACCTGGACTCCAGGATTGCTTTGTTGATCCAGAATCGTATGGCTCTAGAAGAGGTAGGGTTGCATTGAAATAGCCATCGTCAAGATTGTTTGTGCTAATATATACTCCAAGCAAAATGAGGTTGCCAGTCACCTTGACGAGGCCGCCGAGCTCCAGGAAGGCTCGTTTCCGAACGACGACAAGACTCAGAAATACGGCAACCTATTCTTCATGCTTCAGTCAGAACCCAGGCATATCGCTCATCTATGCCGTCTGGTCACCATGGCCGAAATCGATTCACTGTTACAGACCGTCATGTTTACAATCTATGGAAACCAATACGAGAGCCGAGAAGAGCATCTACTGCTGACCATGTTTCAATCGGTCTTGACCCACCAGTTCGAGACAACACCTGAATATTCCTCCCTTCTCCGGCAAAACACTCCCGTTTCCCGCATGATGACGACCTATACTCGACGCGGCCCGGGACAGAGTTTTCTCAAAGAAGTCCTCGCTGAAAAGATCAACTCGCTGACCGAGCTGAGCGATGTGGATCTTGAGATCAACCCCCTGAAAGTCTACGAGGCCATGGTGAAGCAAATCGAGGAAGACACCGGTACTCTTCCAGAAGACCTACCCCGGTCTGTGACTGCCGAATTTGCTGCGGAGAACGAACAAGTGCAGGCCATCATTACGCCCCGCCTCAAGATGCTGACTGAAATCGCCGAAGGATTCTTATCTGCTATCATTGAGTGCCTAGAGGAGACCCCGTACGGGATTCGCTGGATCTGCAAACAGATTCGGAATCTGTCGCGGCGCAAGTACCCTGACGCCCAGGACCAGGCTATTTGCACCCTGATTGGTGGCTTTTTCTTTTTACGCTTTATCAATCCTGCCATTGTCACTCCAAAATCTTACATGCTGATTGAGCGAGTGCCCGACGAGAAGCCCAAAAGGACTCTGACCTACATCGCTAAGATGCTTCAGAACCTGGCCAACAAGCCATCCTACGCCAAGGAGCCGTACATGGCCAAGCTCCAACCGTTTATCCAACGGAACAAGGATCGCTGCAACAAGTTCATGTTGGACCTGTGCGAAGTTCAAGACTTTTATGAGAGCCTGGAGATGGACAACTACGTGGCGCTATCCAAGCGTGATCTTGAGCTTCAGATCAGTTTGAACGAAGTGTATGCTACTCACGCGTTACTTGAGAAGCATAGCACGGAATTGGCCAAAGATCCTTCTTCTCATCTGGGAATTCTACTGCAGGAACTTGGCCCGGCACCACCACAATTACCTAGAAAAGAAAATCGGGCAATCAATCTGCCTCTCTACAGCAAGTGGGAGACAACCTTTGACGACCTGACCCATGCGCTCGACATCACTCCAGAAGAGATTCACTTTATGGAGGCCAAGAGCACCTTTGTGCAGATCATGCGAACTTTGCCACAGAACGCGATTGTTCTGCGACGCCCTCTTCGTCTGGACCGGGTGGCGGAAGCAGCGGGGACCCTCAAGAATGACGCCGTCATGGTGCGGAAAGGCATCCGATGCATGGAACTTCTAACGCAACTTTCCGAATGGGGCGTGATAGACCGTGCCGACGACTATGCTGTGCTCCGCGATGAAGTTGAGCAGGAGCTGGCCCACCTCGGCTCGTTGAAGGAGAAGGTGTTGGAGGAGACGGCCAAGTTGGAGGATGTTTATAAGACGATTCGGGACCACAACGCATACCTTTTGTCCCAACTCGACACGTACAAGAATTACCTGCACAACGTCCGAAGCCAGTCTGAAGGTGCGAGAAGAGGCAAGACGGAGAAGGTGCGCGAACTCGGCCCGTATAAGTTCACCCACGCTCAGCTGGAGAAAGACGGCGTGATTACGAGGAGCAATGTGCCCGAGAACCGGAGAGGTAATATCTTCTTTATGTTCCGAAGCCCACTCGCAGGAACTTTCGTCATCAGCTTGCATTACAAAGGTGAGCATGTCCGACCTTGGTGCGCGAACAGTGGATTGGTGAGACTAACCTGGTGATAGGACGTGCTCGTGGTCTCCTCGAGTTGGACCTCAAGTTAGACGATCTGCTCGAGATGCAGAAAGATGGTCAGGACGACCTCGATCTGGAATATGTGCAGTTTGATGTCTCCAAGGTTCTGACCCTGCTCAACAAACGATTTGCAAGGAAGAAGTAGACGGCGAATTTGGACCCCAATCATGCAGGCCGCATGATGGTTGGAGCACGAAAGCACGAAGGACATATTCAGGCAGAAATCTCGGAACACGACGGGGACGAGCGACACGACTGAATTGAAGCAAACACACTCCCAGCGATTGACGAAAAAGAAGCCGGCGAGCTGACTGGGTCATTGCCATATTATTACTATTTTTGGTTGCATTGGGTCCCTTTTCTACTCTCTTTTCTGTTTTACTAGGAATCCAAGCGCGCATCATCGATTTTTGTTGTGACTAATATTTTCAATCGGGAGATTTTGTCTCGAGGGTTTGTTGATGTTGATCAAGAGCGAGTCGAGGAAGGACAGCAGTTTGCAACACCGTCGAGAGCAGTTTCAGTTCAGTGTTGGGTCTATCTGATTCTCGGTGTGTTGTGTCTGTGTCGGTATGAGCGAAGGGGGTGTCCGTCTGTGTCTGTGTACGGAGCGTGTGTAATTTATATATCGAAGGGGGGGCCAGCTCCCTGAGAGACGGGTGGACTGTGTTTTTGAACGACGCAAAATGATTTTTGTATTAGGAACAGAGGGAAAGGGGAAAGGGTGAAGGGGTTGGGACATACCCCCATTGTACTAATATAAAGCACCCTTTTTTGGGAGGAGGCTTTTTGATACAGAAGGATTTGGTTTTTTGTATTTCTCTGTTTGTCCCCAGAACTGAATTGACTCGTATAGCGTCCTTGGGCCTTGAAAACCACTGGCCAGATACGGTGATGGTGTTGGTGTTTGTGTCGAAGTTGACGGACATTTCTCGATTCAAAGGCTCTTAACTCCGGCCGGTATCGGCAGTACAATAACCCGATCTCTACTAGTGTCTCGTGCCGGTCCAATAGGAGTCCGCATCCGTCGCCTGCCGCCCGGATAATGGGGCCATCGTGGGCCTCTCATTATCTCGTCTGTTTAGTAACCATCTCTCGACCTTTTGAGTCAGATCGTTATCTCGACTACGAGCAAATCGAGATGCTTCTCCCATATTTGATATCGCTTGTATCTCTAGGAGCTCACCCCCCCCTTACTTTCCTGCTAAGACATCTATCTACCCGCCATACTTTTTGGGGGTAGTTTCATTTTGTCTCGTCAATATGGACGTCTTCGAGTTGCCGGCGTCTCACGCCTCGCCCCTCTAACACGTGTGAGGCACGTTTTTACTCCTTCTACCCTGTGGATTGGTTAGTCTGGCCCAGCAACGAACGTGCCTGACTGTCATGGGAAAAGCAAAGAAACCAACCAAAACACCTCAACCTCTATCCCCGAGGATTATAGTACAGAATATTGGTGGGGGCGACCAGGTGAGTAGGGGGTACTTGAGTATTCGTCACTGTGTCGTCGCTGACGTGGGATATAGCGTATCCTGGTAGCAGAGTTTGAGGGGTTGGCCGTAGCAGATGGCCCTGATATCATACCAGACGACAAGGCCAGGTCGCGTTCCGTCCCTGAACACGTTGGGCCCATCGCAGTCGGGGACGAACCCAGCATTAGCGGTCTCTCGGTGTGCAAAGAAGCCAGACCTGAGGAAGAGTTCCTCGAGGTCAGGTCGACTGCGGACCGCGGTCTCGCTGTCTTTGCGACTCGCAAAATCAAGGCCGGGACACTCGTGCTGGTCGAACGGGCCCTGATCGCACTGGACAAGGACGAGGAGAACGACTACGGCGCGGTGGAGCGCGCGTTCTCCCGACTCTCGCGCGCCGAGCAGAAGATGTACCTGCGCCTGTTCGACGCGCAAAAGTCGCGCATGTCCCGCGTCGTCTCCATCTACTACAGCAACTGCTACAACTGCGAGGCGTTCCGGCCCGGCGGCCAGGGCGGCTCGGCGATCGGCGCCCTCTCGAGCCGCATCAACCACAGCTGTGTGCCCAACGTGCAGTTCTCGTTCGACGAGGCCCGCAACGAGATGAGGTTCTACGCCATCCGCGACATCCCCCGCGGGAAAGAGGTGTGCAGTAACTACGACAAGGCCGTCTTTGAGGTCGCGGCCAAGCGGCAGAGGAAACAGCAAATGTACTATGGCTTCGTGTGCCGCTGCGAGGCGTGTGATGCGAAAACCGAGTTTTGGGCCAAGAGCGACGAGCGCAGGCGGGACATGTGCGACGCCATTCGAGCCGTGCAGTGGTGCGAGAAGAAGCTGGCCGCGGCGGAAAGCGGTGCAGTGGCCGTGACGGCGATGACGAGTGATAAAGGCCAAGTCGGGGCCCGAGCCAGAATCGAAGACTCTAAAGCTGCCGCTGTTGCTGCCGTTGACGCTGAGAGTGTGAACGTGGTGGTAGACGAGGCATTGGCCTTTTTGACGAAACTCGAATCGTTACTCCTAAAGGAAAGCCTCGTGGGAGTGCCCCTGGCCAACACGTATCGCAGCATGGCCAAGTGGGCGGAGCGGAAGGGCGACAAGGCAAAGGGCACCGACGAGGCTGTCAAGTGGAAGATCAAGGAGCTCGAGGCCTGTGTTACCGCTCTTGGGAGGGAGGGTCACAGAACCAAGGAGATTGAGACCTGGTTGGAGAGACACTCTGTTCTTGGAGGTTGAGGACGACGAGGAGGAGGAGGAGGAGGAGGAGGAGGAGGATGATGATTTGTAGATTTCTGTATCATCTATCTTAGAATATAGACTCTATAGACCACATAGACCGTATAGAATAGAGTGGAATATATAGAAACAGCACAGCGCAAAACTGTGCAACACAGGACGGGAGCAAATCCTGAATGTCTCACAGGCCAGATACACTTCTTGACGCAAAGGCGCGCGAGCGATCGACCTCAAGCTGACTCTCAATCTGAATCTGACTCGTATATGGATAGATGGTCTGTCTGTCTGTCTGTCTGCTTCTATCTACCCAGTACCGAGTATCCTTTGTCTTGGTTTACATAAGCGGACCTCGTTGTGGACTGGGTACTACCTACCTTCCTATATACCTACCTGCCTACATGCCTACACCATTGAGATGGAGGCAAGGCAGGGCAGGGGAGATAAATAGATAGACACATACCCAATGCCTGTATGTAGTCTGTATCTTGTAGCCTGTGGCTCAAATCCACGTTATGCTTTATGATTTTACTGGCGTTGTTGTTTCAGTTTATACGTGGCCTCCTCCAACTCGACCAGCAACTCCATGCAGACGGGGTCGGCGGCGGGCACGATCTGGTTGAACAGGGTGGCCGCGACGCCGCCCTTGCGGTCGACCCACCAGAACAGGTTGGGCAGGCCGCCCCAGTTGACGGTGCCGGCGTGTCTGCGGCCGGGGACGTCCTCGAGGTTGACGGCCCCGGCGAGCGAGTGGCCCGCGGGGATTGCGCCCTGCTCTCCCTGCGAAGTGGTGACGGCGGCGGTGGCGGCCGAGGCGGCGGCGTTCGCGGGCGACGACTTCCACAGCCGGTCGCGCCCCGTGCCCCGGACGGAGGCGTGGAAGGCCTCGGTGCTCCCGGGGCCGATCTGCGGGCGGAACATCTCGTCGACGCTCTCCTTCTTGAGCAGGCCCCCGCCGTCCTGCAGCAGCGCCGTCAGCAGCCGGATGTAGTCGTTGGCTGTGCTGTACAGGCCCGCCCCGCCGATCGCGTCGCGCGGTGCCAGGGGCCACAGCGACTTGGCCGGTTTCGAGTCGAGCGCCTTGGGGGACTCGGCCGGGTTGCTGCGTTGGGCGGTTTCGTGCAGCGGCGGCATGGGGTTGGGCTGGAAGTGTTTGGTCGGGTAAAAGGTCGTCGATTTGGCCGAGAGGGGGCCCCAGATGTTTTCCTGCACGTATGTGTTCAGGTCTTGTTTCGTGAGGACTTCGACCTGTCGCACCACACAAGTTGAGGTGAGAGGTTAGTTACTTTTCGCCCCAATCTCAAGACCAAGCGTTGTCATTCTTTGCGGTCAAGCAGGAAAAGACACCGTCCAGGGCAGGGCCAGGACCGGCGATCGGACCAGGAAGGGAACAAAAGACACAAGAGACCGTACGTACCACTCGTCCTGCCCAATCGAGTCCATCACTATACATCCATGATTCGCCTGGCTGGTAGAGCAGTGGATGTAATGCGCCTTCCTGTCACCCTGATAGTCAGCTTTCAAAGAATGCCTCTCGGTCTCGCACAACAGAGGTGCTAAGCGAAGGTCTTACAATCGTCCCACTGAACATGTTATCCGTTCGGCCCACCAACGCGGACCATTTGACGAGCAGCGGACTGCTCACATCGTAGCAAAACCCCGAGGTATGCGACAGGAGTTGTCTGAAAAGTTGACAGCGCTTGGGTCAGCAATACCGTGCACAGAGGAAAAGGACAGGGCGGTTGAACACAAACCGTAGAGTGATCTTCCCCTTGACGTCCTCGAAGATGGGATTGCCCTTTGGCTTCAACTTGTCCAGATCGGGACCTGCGCCGCCGCGGGAAAATGCTGCTGGGTCCAGCCCCTGTGCGCTGTCCTCGCCCTCAAAGCCCAGGAGAACCTTCAGGTCCTTCAACACGGGGAGAACTTCGCGCACGTCGTCGTCCAGGCCGATGAGGCCCTTCTCGACGATCTGCATGACCGCGACCGAGGTCACCAGCTTGGTCTGGCTGGCGATCCATGTCAGGGTGTCTGGCGTCAAGGGATCGGATCGGTCGACGGTGCGGCCCCCGAATGAAGCACGATAAAGGTCATTTCCTTCCTGGGTTGTCAATCGTCCTTGTACTTTATCCTCACTTCTAAAACAGTCACACTCACCTGCGCTGTCGACGGCGACAAAGGTGGCGCCGTGGACGGAACCCGTGGCAGGGTCCGTGTATTTTCGGAGAATCTCATCGAGCTCAGCCATTGTTATTGCTCGTGTTCGTGGTGTTGGTGACTTGTTCGCAGGGGAATGTCGACAACGAAACAAGAGCAGCTACTGCTGAGATACACCGTCCACCCATTCCAGCCGCTTATGAATGCGAACCTACGGTTTTAAATGTCTCCATCGTTCGCGCCATCGATCAGCCCCGGCGCCCGAACGCTGCATTCCTGTTGGATCATGCAAGGCCTCTTCCTCTCCCTCTCTCCAATTCAACCTTCCGTTCCGAGGCGTTGTCTCGCTATTTCCGATAGTGGCACCAGTGGACACAGGCGGGTCTACTCCGTAGTATTACCGACACACCCTGCACGACTTGTCCCCCTCTCACCTGCAAGGACAGAACCTCGGCGAACGCCAGATGGGAAAAGGGCGAAAGAGAAGAAATATCCACACCCACAACGGGATTCTCCAACGTCGGACGCGGTCCGATGGATGGCCTAAGGCTGACAAAAGGAGGATTCTTCTACATACATACAGTACCTTCCATGCCACATCGGGATCCTGATGAGTCGACAGGCAATGAGAAATAACAAGTCCTAAGAACAAACTGCATCTTGGACAACCCGAGAGGCCGCGGAACGAGGTGGACATCTTCTTGTCCTCTTATAGCGACCTATGCAAGAGCTAGCTGGCTTGGCTGCTGTTCCAGGAGTCTGCTTCGCGGCATAAGTCTACAACTAAGGCTGATCTCGATATGTCTTCTAGGCTGGAGTAGCGCGGAGCAATCCCAGCGGTGCAACGCCAGTGTTGCTTCCACTGCTCTCAAATATTCAGGAGTCGTCAAATTCTTGTAAAGTCGTCACCTTCTTGTTGCCTACCCTCATAGACCCTTTACCCATAATCGCAGACCACTAGCGGCGGCACCAATCTCGCAAACCTCGCACATCTTGCACACCTGTCCCTTGAACTGGCTCTGATACTTGGCTCCATCGAATGGACATGACACGCTTTGTGCTCCGGTGTAGATGGGAGTGAAGGAAGCGGCGCAGACGTCGAAATCGGCGAATTGGTCGTATTCAATGTCGATCTTGTCGCTAGATCCCAACCGCTCAGCCTGTTGTTTGATTTTCTTTGCCTGCAAACAAAGTTAGCAACTTAGCGGGATGCTTTCTCTCCATCTACTCACCTGTTCAACCAATTTCGCCGCGCCACCATTGGCTAGGATGCGATTTGCAAAGGACAATGCACTGGAATACTGTCGGTTCGAGAATGCCAATTTCATAGCTGCCATCAGAGCCAGTTGCCGATGAGAGACTTCGAGTTTGGGCATGGTGAAGTATGCCGAAAGCTCTAGCTGTCGCTTGAGTTGTGCTTCGGCCTCACCACCCTCAGCCGCAAGCCGGCGTCTTTCAAGCTCAACGCTCATCGCAAGCGTGTACTCCATCGCTTTCGTAATCAGCGCCTTAGCTTCGTCCACCTGTGCCTGCGAACTGACGACGTTGACAAGAAGCGATTGCAGCAGTCGCCGGAACGTGAGGACACCTTGCTCCAATCTGTTTGTCCTCATGGCCGTGTATCCTTCTTGTAGCTCAACATTGTTGAGGGTCTCCAGGTTTCGGGGAATGACAGGCAGGAGCTTTCGGTTGTCCGTCTCGTCGGTGGTGCGGCGAACATAGTTCACAATAGGCGGCAAGCCGGCATTGGCGGGCAGAAATGTTTTAGACGCCTGGTAGATCTCCAAGAATCTCGACTTGAGGGGCTCAAAATGTACCGCCCCAACTTGACGGTTCAGCAGCTGCATGGCACTGTCGAAAGAGCCTGCTGCGACATGGTCCGCGGCTAGTGGAGAGTTTCTCGACCACATATCTGCCTCTGAGCTGCCCGGCCCAGCAGCTTCTGCAGGTGCATCCGGGTTGTCGACATTGACAAAATCCGAGTCATTCCCCGTGGCCTCGAGCCCGATGTCGTCACCCATGTCCCAACCTTCGCCAGCATCCGCATCCTCATCTGCTGCGAGCCCGTCACCGTCGGCAGCAGCGGGGACGTCCTCGGTGAGGAGATCAGGGCTTGTTTCGTCATCGACTGCTACGCCCACCTCGCCGAGAAGCGCTCTCTCAAATGACGAATGTGATGCCTCCTTGACCGGCCAGTTCGCTTTGTAGGTAGGTACAATGACTTTAGGAGGAGCAAGACCTTCTCCCGCCTCAGGCATCGAGATTTGGTCTTCTGTCAACCCACAAAGCTCGAGTATTGATTGACATTCTTCGATCAATCCGTGAGACTTTGCAGTGAGATAAGCCAGAGGATATTGGTCGATCTCCTTGAACATTTGGATCCGGCTCTCCACGTCACCGAGATAGAGAGCATTTTGGAATCTGGAGACAAAATCTCCGCGATGCTCGGCGATTTTGGCCATTCTCGTCAGCTTTTCCTCGTCGCCCGTGCAAAGGTACAAGAATGAGAGTTTGTCGAAATTTCGGAGTTTCTGATAGGTCATCTCCACGGTCTGATGATTGCCATGAACCAAAGCTTCGGTGCCCAAGCGTGTCCAGATTTTGGGTCGGTCCAACTCTTTGGCCATTTCTGTGGCCACTTCCAGGTTGCCACATTCAATGGCGAGTTCGAATCTCGTCTGGGGATCTTGCACAAACTGTAAAGCGATCTCGGGATAGCCTTTCTTTTGGAGATAAGAAATGATGCTCTGCCCGACGAGGGGTGAGGTCTTGATGATCTGAAGCATTTCGTCGTAATTACGCTTCACGAGAGCCAATTTAAAGCGGTATTCCGTTGGGTCAATGGTGAGCACACGGGGTTTGGAGGATCTGTCGAGGCAGTAGACATTACGTCCTTTGACTTTGACGAGGTAAACCGTCTGGTCGAGTGTTCTGACGATGCCGTTGTCACCATTGAGCAGAGTGTATTTGATATGGTTGAGAGTTGAGTAAAGCAGAACGCCTGAATCGTCCCAGGCTGCGCTCTTGATTCTGATCGTTTCGTGCAGGGTGCTGACTTGTTCTAGCGATTTGTTGACGATGGTGACATTGTGCTTGCTGAGCAGAGCAGCATACAGACCATCATTTGACCAGGAAACATATTTGACACCAGTAACGCTCAGTTCTGCCAGCTGCTTCTTCTGTTGAATGTCATAGAGAACCACGTTTGTGGGAGAGATGAGAAGGAGGCAACCAGTGCCACCATATGTGATATCAGTCGTGCCGGCAGGTGCTTTGAAGGATTTTGTTGTTGAGTTACCCAGGTCTTTGATTTCAACCAGCTGAGTAGATGTGCTGAAAACGGCAAAACGATTGCGGGCAACGAAAACTGCGGCATTCCCTGATCCACGCTTGATATCAGTAGGTTCAGTAGCCCCTGTGGCATCTCGAGGAAGGGCAATCAGCTCGTAAGTGCCGTTGTCTGTGGGCGAGGTGACCAGGATCGATCGCTCTGCCGGATTGTAGGAGAGCGTACGAGGAGGGACCCAATTGCTGCCAAACTTCCTAAGTGACAGCAGCGACGGGGACTCGACATTTTTGGTGAAATCGTAAGATCGGACGTGCTTGTCCTTTGTGATATAGAATAGCTGGTTCTGATACACTGAGGATGCAGGCCGCTCTCGTTCGAGTTTGAAGACCATGACACCGTTATCATGGCCGGCAGCAAACAGGTTGATTTCTGGATGGGCCGCAATCACCCAGAACCGGTCATTCTCCCGCTTAAATGACTGGACGGAAGTTCTCTTGTTCAAGTCCCAGACACGAATAGTTTTGTCCTCACCCACGGACAAAATGAGATCTTGATGTGGATGGAACAGGCATGCAGACACGTTTTGGAAGTGTCCTCGGCAGGTGTCGACTTCCCATGCTTTGGTCTCGCTCATTCTCCATAGCTTGACCAATCGGTCATCGCCTGCGGACACGATCAAAGGCAGAGTCGGGTGGAAAGCGACCCAGTTGACGCCTCGATCGTGCCCTTCAAGAACGAATTTGACAACAGCATCCGTATTGCCAAACATATCAGCCTGTTGTTGATTTGCTCGTGCCATCTGATCCTCGAAGCTCATCGAGGTCGGGGCAGAGTGCTTTTTCCTTAGTCCTGATATATCCCACACTCGGACAGACTGATCAAGGGACGCGGAGACAATGAGATCTTCCTTGGGGTGGAACTGTGCGCACATGGCATAGTGGTTGTGGCCGGTCATTGTACAGACTGTCATATGTCAGGGAGAACTGAAAACCCATTGCAGTAGTACTCACTCAAAGACCGGTTCTGCCAGTTCCAAATTCTGATTGTCTGGTCGTCAGAGGCAGACAAGATCCAAGGCAACTCATGGTGGAAGAAGACTGTCCGGACATAATCCAGGTGACCATTGAGGGTGAAGAGACACCTCCTGGTTTGATAGGACCAGACTTTAATCTTGTAGTCATCTCCTCCTGATACAAAGAGTGGTTGTGTCTTGTGAAAATCGATCCCGCGAACTGGTCCATCATGTTCCTCAAAGCGGTCAATCAGGGTTCCCATGCGATAGTCCCATAGCCTGCAGAGTGGTTAGTTTGGGTGCTTCGAGAAATGGCGGGATGATGTGGTACTGGATGGTACTGCTGTGCAAGCTGACAAGGATCCATGGTCTTTTTGGGTGGAAAGCTAAACCCTTTGCGCGACTGCTTTTGCTCTCAAACTGTACTCAAAGGTTAGAGACGTCAAAACGGAGGACGAAGGGCCAGGGCTTGCCTTTGTGAGCATTGAAGGGGACGCCATGTTGGCGGCTCAAAGAGGAGTTCAGTTTGCTCAAATTCTCAACGACGGGTTGTAAACATGCTGCACCCCTCAAACACAACGTCGCTATCAAAATTCGTCGTGTGAGAATTGTTGTGTTTAGTGTTTATGTCCCAGTTGGAAAAGCATAGGTGGCTCCGTATGGGGTTTGGGTGCGGTGCTCAATTCAGTTGTAGACAAATGTCCGCAGCCTGACAGTGACCAGCAAAACGGAAGGTACAGCGAGACCGCGCAGTGTGGGGACTTGGCCAGTTTATCGATTTCGATGGACTGTCGCTTTCACCCCGAACTTGCCAGAGTGGCTCACTCTTTGTAGACCACCACCACTCTGATCCTCCTGCATATTCCTTGCGTTCTTGACACTCTATTGGAATAGCTAGGTGGCTTTCTCCTGCCCTTTATAGCCCAGACCGACGAGCCTGCGGTTCCATCTTCAAGCCATTCCCTCACTCAGACCGATTTCCATCAGCATGTGTTTGTGACAGATTAGATACACCGACGACAATGGACCAGGCTCAATACGACGCGATCAAGGACAATTGGGGGGAGGTTGAGGACAGAGATGGCGTCAGACTCAGTTGGAATGTCATTCCATCGACGCGCATGGTACTGAAATAGTCTCCGCGCCGTATTTGAATTCATACTAACAGCTATTTATCAGGAAGCAAACCGACTGGTGGTCCCCGTGAGCTGTTTGCTCACTCCGCTCAAAGTGAGTACCCTGAACTCAAGGAATCTTTTCATTGTGCTGACGATTTGATAGGAACTGGGCAAACCACTACTTCCATATGAGCCAGTTACCTGCAAGGCGCCATGTCGGGCGGTCCTCAACCCCTTCGCTAACGTCGATGTTCGGGCTAAACTGTGGATCTGTCCCTTCTGTCTGCAACGCAATCCTCTACCTCGTCACTATGGAGATATAAGTGCCGAGAACATCCCACCAGAGATGCACCCCGCGAACACCACTGTCGAATACAAACTGGCCCGACCTGCTCCTGCTCCACCCATTTTCGTCTACGTGGTGGATACTGCGATTGAGGAGGATGGCTTGCAAGCGTTGAAGGAAACTCTGGTCATGAGCTTGTCATTGCTCCCTGCGAATGCGCTGGTAGGACTGGTCACATTCGGAACCAATGTTGCCGTGCATGAGATTGGCTATACCGAGTGCCAGAAGTCATACGTCTTTAGGGGCAGCAAGGACTATGCCGCAAAACAGGTTCAGGAAATGCTGGGCTTAGCTGCACCCGGCCTGAGACCTAATATGCCACCGGTTCAAGGACGTCCACCTCCGCCTATGGGTCCTGCAGCCCGATTCCTCCTTCCAGTTCAGCAAGCTGAGTTCCAGATCACCAATGCGATTGAGCAGCTACAAAAAGACCCTTGGCCTGTCGCAAACGACCGCCGGCCACTTCGCGCTACCGGAGTCGCGATGAGCATCGCGGTCGGCTTGTTGGAGACGTCGTTCCAAAATGCCGGAGCCAGAATCATGCTCTTCGCTGGTGGTCCGGCCACTGAAGGGCCCGGTATGGTCGTTGCCCCAGAACTGCGTGAGCCAATTCGATCACATCACGATATCGACCGTGATAACGTCAAATACTTCAAGAAGGCAATCAAATTCTATGACGGTCTTGCAAAACGCACTGCCCACAACGGACACATCATTGATCTATACGTTGGCTGTCTCGACCAAGTGGGCCTGCTTGAAATGAAAGGACTGGCGAACTCGACTGGAGGTCATATGGTCCTGACCGACAGTTTCACCTCATCACAGTTCAAACAGTCCTTTGTTCGAGTCTTTGACAAAGATGAAAGCGACAACCTCTTGATGGGATTCAATGCATCTCTTGAAGTGGTTACCACGAAAGAGCTCAAGGTAACCGGCCTCATCGGTCACGCGGTGTCCCAGAATAAGAAGTCTAGCTCTGTCGGCGAGACAGAATGTGGTATCGGAAACACCTGCCTCTGGAAAATGTGCGGCATTGATCCCACATCCAGCTACGGCATCTACTTTGAGGTTGCCAACCAAGGTGGTCCAGCACCTATGCAGCAAGGCCCGCAACGGGGCATGATGCAGTTTTTGACGTATTACCAGCATTCTTCTGGGCAGTATCACCTACGCGTGACCACTGTCGCCCGCAATTTGAGCGGACCAACTGGCGACCAAGCACTGGCACAGTCTTTCGACCAGGAAGCCGCTGCTGTGCTTATGGCAAGGATTGCGGTCTTTAAAGCAGAGGTTGACGATGGGCCCGATGTCCTCAGATGGGTGGACCGAATGCTCATCAGGCTCTGCTCACGGTTTGCAGACTATCGCAAAGATGACCCAACGTCCTTCCGACTGGACAAGAACTTTACCCTCTATCCTCAATTCATGTTCCACCTGCGCAGATCACAATTCCTTCAGGTATTTAACAACTCGCCCGACGAGACGGCATTTTATCGACACGTGCTCAACCATGAGTATGTGGGAGATTCACTGATCATGATCCAACCCACCTTGGACTCTTATGGTCTGGACCATGAAGGTGGCCAGCCAGTCTTGCTCGACTCCGCCTCCATCCAGCCACAGACCATCCTACTCCTCGATACTTTCTTCCAGATTCTCATCTTCCATGGCGAAACTATGGCAGAGTGGCGTAAAGCCGGCTATCAGGACCAAGAAGGTTATGAGAACTTCCGGGCAGTTCTTGATGCACCAAAGGAAGACGCACGAGAACTCGTACAGGACCGATTCCCTCTGCCGCGATTTATTATTTGCGATGCTGGAGGTTCACAAGCCCGGTTCCTCTTGTCGAAACTGAATCCTTCAACCACCCACGCGACTGGTGGTTACGGCGGAGTTTCACAGTCTGCCCAGACGATTTTCACTGATGATGTGTCATTGCAGACATTCATGGACCATCTGATGAAGTAAGTTTCCCCTTATTATAGCCTTGGGCATTCGCTAATCCGGTCCAGACTGGCGGTATCTGGGTCTACGTAGAGGCATGCGCTAGGAGCAACAATAATGACTGTGGATGGGCACGTGGGACTCTATCTTTGCGACATTAGCCACGCATCTCGGACGTTCCTGCAGGAACCTGTCCATTGGGGGTGGCCGCAGCTCCTTTTACAAGCGACTGAGTTGAGGGGGCAGATACTGGTAGAAAATTGGCATGACATGAAATGAGTTTGCGCAAATGAAATGTAATAGATGTGCTGCTGTACACGATCCCTCGTGCTTTGTACCTGCCAAGAGTTACTTCCCAAGCCATTTCGACCATTCCGTATTTGGAATAATCTCACCCACAAGTCGAAGTCTTGGCATCCGCCGAAAAAAGTTGCTAGTCAAGTTCAATTTCGCGAACTGCTTCTCCCTGAGATTTCTATCCTCCAGCTCACAACCATCACCTCGAGAGACTGACTACCTTTCGCACTCGCCATGCGTAAGTATCGTCTTCTTGAGCAGCATCAGCTCGGCGGCTAACATGTGTTCACTCCTTCAGCTCCCAAGTTAGATCCCAATGAGGTGAAGATCATGTATGATCACCCTTTGAATCTCCAATCTGCAAGAGACTGACATGGATTTCTGTCAGCCACCTTCGCGCCACTGGCGGTGAGGTCGGATCTTCTGCCACGCTCGCTCCCAAGATCGGCCCCCTCGGTCTTTCGCCCAAGAAGGTCGGAGAAGACATTGCAAAGGCAACTGGTGACTGGGTACGTGTTTCCATAACAAGCTATTATCTGCGTCCGCACGAATCAGCTAACATTTTCGTGTGCCTATAGAAAGGTCTCCGTGTCACCGTCAAGCTGACCATCCAAAACCGACAAGCTGCCGTCAGCGTCGTCCCCTCAGCGTCATCACTCGTCATCAGAGCTCTGAAAGAGCCCCCGCGAGACCGCAAGAAGGAGAAGAACATCAAACACTCCAAGTCGATCCCTCTTGAAGAGGTCTTCGATATTGCCCGGACCATGCGTGGTGCGAACAAGTCGCTCGCTCGCGAATTGAAGGGCACAATCTTGGAAATTCTCGGCACTTGCTTCAGTGTGGGTTGCCAGGTCGACGGGAGAAGTCCCAAGGACATCAGTGATGAGATCAAGGAAGGGTCGATCGAGGGTCAGTTCTTACATTTGGACTGCCAACACTTTCCTGTCTCCTGTTACTAACTCGTGTACCACAGTGCCCGATGAATAGACTCAGACGCAATGCCTGCTGAAGAAACCACGAGTCTCGTCCGGTTCGAGGTAGCGTGGTACAGCAGGACAATGATGTCGTCCATGAGCGATGCCTGGGAACCATGTCATGTCTCCAAAAACAGTAATGAGGATCAACGAAAAAAAGATTTGAAAATCGAGGCATCATCAGCCAACCCACTCCACTCCCATTTCTTTTTCCCTTCCCTCTTCCTCCTCTCCCCTTTTCCACCATGATCATGACCATGGCCTTTTTTACTCCCAAAAACATCCCCCTTCTCTCTCTCTCTTCCCTCTCTTCCCCCCCTCTTACCCCAAAGAAGAACCACAAACTTCGCAAAACCACCCCCCCCCCCCTTACCTTTGCCAACACTCTGGCCTTTATCCCTTTCCATTCACGGAGAGCCATCACCAGGATAATGTCTGCCTATTTTGATGCAAAGAAGATCAAACCGACACCTTACTCACCACGGCATCTACTCTTTATTTTTTTCCTCCATGGATGCAGTGGTCCATATCCTTTTTGTGTCTACAATCCCCCCCTCATCTCTCTCACCCCTTGACAAACTTGTACGGTCTGATTGATTAAATGAATGAATGAATGAATAAGAAAATTAGTAGTTTTTTTTAGTTTTTTTTTTCTGGTGTTGGAGAAGGGTGACCACGGTGTCCCCTGCTTCTATTTTATGGGAGGGTTTGAAAATTGAATTGTAATTGAAATCAATGTCGTGAGCCTCTGTGTCTTGTCTGTCTGTGTGTCTGATGTGTCTGATCTGTCAGTCCATGTTCAACCTGGACATCACGTCCGTCCCCTGGTCGTATGGCTATTTTCTGGGGACACCTTTGCCCTCTCCCTGAACTCAATGCCATCACGAGCACGCGCTCGAACCAAAGAACATGAGACCTCAGACATGAGACATGAGACATTTACTGCTGCACGAGGTTCTGTGCCCAAAAAGGGGGATGTTTGCAAAGGACCGGGGGGGGGGGGGGGGGGGGGAAGAAAGGTTGTGCTTCAGGCCACGTGCCACGTGACGCGGCTGAAAGACTCAGGGGCGGTTTGGATTCCAAGGGGGGTTTACCCAGATCCGAGAATGAAAAGTTCCAACAAAGCCCATGGTTCATGGAGCTACCAAGTAGATATATAAATACCAAGTACAATACACATACACATACATACATTTCGGATTAGGGCTTATAACTAGTCAATATCTACCAAACAGAGCTCGACGGCAGGCCGTGCTCCTGGTATGTCTCAGCAAAAACAGGGGCATATGTACAATCACAAAAATCAAACACTTTGGAGTTGTTCTGAGGACGCCGTATCTCCCTGTTCAAGCGGTAGACCCGCCAAAACGCGAAACCACCGAGTTTACATGCTCCATGCTCTGTTTCATGTTGCGCACCGCGGTCTCGAGTCGCTGGCGGAACTCGGGATGGCGCTCGCTCTCCAGGGCCACGTTCTCGTCCTTCACGGTATCAAAGTCGCTCTGGAGTACGGCGAGGTGCGAGGCGACGGCCTTTCGCATGTCGTCCTCCAGGCTTTGCGCGAGGTGGTGGAATTTGGAGCGGAATTTCCGGCAGTGATTTGCAAAGAGCTGCTCGTCGCTGAATCCGTCTCGGATGATGGTCTTGCGCCTCATGTCGCTTCCACGACCTATCGTGGGTTAGTCGTCCCGTATCTGTAACCCGCGATCCCCCAGTATAGCTTCCACTAAGGGATTTCGAGGCCCGTGGACCTGAACCAAACGAACTCACCTTTTTCAAGCATGGTCCTCTGGTAGGACGATTCCATGATCTGACCAATGAACGAGGTGCGAATTCCAGAGAATGCAGCCGTTCGGAGCGTACTATATTGTGGAATTAGCCTGTGGTCCATCCGAGGAAGAGGAGCTGGAAATCTCACGATAGATCGCGCTGGAAGTCCTCTACTAGTCCCTCCATGGCGGAGAGGAGAAGGGCCTTTCTGTGCGTCATGGTCACGTTCAAGGTCTGTAGCGAGCGTGTCGGGACATTCGTTGAACCACCTGGTCAGCCAAGAATCATCAGCGCTTGGTCAGATGAATACAATTCCCTGGATGCGGCATGTCGTACATAGGATTATAGCCTCATCGAAGCAATCCTCAGTCCTGTTCAGCAGATTCTCCTGCGAGTCCTCCAGGGCCTGTTTAAAGGTTCGCCAAGGGGTAGCCATCTGGGTGACCATGGCTTGTATAGCTTCCTGATTCCAACAGCGCCGAATCTCTGTCGAACTTGTGCTGTAATCGCCGTAGTTTCGACAAAAAGCGGCGTAGGTACCTGTCAGAGTATCAAAGGTCTGCACTAACATCGCATGGAGAGAGATAATTGGGGGAAAAATGGGTGTTCCTAACTGTGATGCCACTGCCAATGCTTGCATTAGTCGAATCCAAAAGCATCGTTTGGAGATTTGGACCACTTACACCTTGCCATTCCATGGTCGCATTTTCTGCGGCTTCACTCCAGTCGTCGGAATTTTGATCTGCCAAAGCATTAGCTCAACGGCAAGTTTCATCACTGGACTTGACAGACTTATGACACGAACTATATGTGCGTTGAATTGCCTCTCCATGGACGATGCGCTGGCATTGACAGGGGATGCCGACAGGTTTAGCTTTTGGTAAATATTCGAATCAGACCAACCCAGAGGCATTGAAAGTCCCTCTCACAGAAATCTCACCGTGTCTAATTTGCTTTCGATCCCTCGGATAGTGTCTCGAACAGCTTGTTTCCTTTCAGCTCCTAGACTTCCCGCGCCAGATTGCACCCAGAGCTCGATAGATCCCAGTAGTGCAGGGATGGCATTGTTCATGTACTCAACGGCTGCCCGAAGCTGGCTCTGGGCGACGATGGAGAGGCAATACTTTCGGACTTCCAAGATCCCAGAGAGCTGCAGGGCGGGCATGGCTCCCGCTTTTGGTTTCATTCGATGTGCCCAGTACAGAAAATTGCTGACGCAGAAAACTGGTAAGTCATCACCAGGGATCTGGCTCTGGTAGATTTTCCGTAGTTCTGTGGTGACTTTCTCGTTGCGAGCGGTGACAATGAAAGTCTTCAATCTGGAGGATTCGTGTCATTAATCTGCAAGGACCCGAGGGTAGAACTAACTACTCACTCAAACTTGGCTTCGTCGATCTGCTTCCTACAGAAGGAACCTGTCAACATCACGGCCATGTACTCCAAGAACAAAAAGACTTACTGTAACCTTCTCGAGGCCGTGTGAAGTTTGACAAGTCTTTGACTCTCTTCACTGTCAATTTCATTTTCGGTGTCACTGTCGAAGGCTCTTATCTGGTTTATATCGTCTTCGTTCTCGTCCAAGGATGCCTTCAATTTCTTGATATTCTGATTCAACCCCTCAATGGTCGCGCTGACATCTCGGCCGTGATCATTCTTGACTTCTTCTGCTCGAACATCCTGCGAAGAACATTAGAAAGTCAGCCTTGAAAATTTTGCGAGCTCTATAGGATCAGGGGGTCATCTTAGCTATTCGGCCCTTACTTCTGACTTGGTACAAATGATCGCAATCCTCGACAGGGAAGCCCTTCTTGCAAGCTCGAAAACCCCCTTTACACCAGTGTCATCGATGGCTCGAGCGATGGGACAGACGGCAAAAATCTCATTGCACTGAAGCAGGTATCTCTCCGTTATCTTGACCCGGGCCGAGTTACGGTCTCGAAGGCCTGACAATATTAGAAAACGGTGAGTCGACTGAAGAATGCCTACTCACCCGGAAGATCAACGAGAACCAGACCCTTGCTCAGAATATACGCATTGAGGTAGACTCTGTCATAATCAGCCAGGTACAACAGGCACAAAAACAGGGTTTGGTTGCGTGCACGAACTTGATCTTTCGAATGAATGGCCAGGTCGAAGGTTGGTTCGGAGAATTTGGCTCAGAGGTAAGTTCAATCAAGCGGTCTGAACATTGGCTTGCTTCATTGAAGACCTCTCTTTTGGGGCTGGCACCTGGCCTGTCCCCTAGGGGTAAACCGGAGTTCCTGGTCCATGTGAGTAATTTCTGGAGCACAGTCTCCTCGGACCCCTCCTTAAGGAGTTGTACATTGTCCACCAGGTGATCTCGAAAGGCTGCTTGAAATGTATGTTCAGCAACCTCCGCTTTCTCCCTGAGATCTTTCGACTGCTCGTCCTGGGCGTCTTCACCAGTACGGAGGTGAAAGTGTCGGTATGACTGCAAAAGTTCGGTGAGTTGACTGGAGATCTCATCGAGAGTGAAATATTCCATCTCTATAGCGAAGTAATCATGTTCATGGTGATGGTACTCAGTTGCGACGCAAGTACACGCCCGCCCACTACCACTCTTTATCGACACTAGACTTAGCAATAGTTTGGTTACGGACAGGAACAATTCGCTACTGACCGATCGAGCAAACCCTTCGAAGTCCAGAAGTGAATTCAAGACGCTGCTTTTGCCTGTACACAATCAGCGACAACCCGTCAAGGGGCAATTCCGAGTCGACTTACCAGCCCCGGCGTCTCCTACCAAGCCCACAATACGAGTTGAGGGCTTTTGGAAGCGGCTCAAATCGACGGCTTGCAAGTGAAGGGCGTTGATGCGAGACTGAGCTTCATTGTGCAGTGTTGAGCTGGCAAGAATGTTGACCAGATCCTTCACAAGGTTCTCTGCTTTGGCAAGCTCTCGTTGGAACTCTGGCTTGTGGAACGGCTCTGCTGGAGGTTCTTCCTCCGCAACATTGTGGGGGGCGGGATCAACAAAAGAGCTCGACCGACGGCGAGAAGCAGATCTTGGACTGCGACTGGCATCGTCAATGCGTAGACTGGGGCTTGGGGACCGCGGATTAAGATAAGTCTCTGGGGTAGGGGTGCCGGCCCGACTACCTTCTGTGCCCAACCTGATATTGTTCAGGGCGTGGGTGACATCGTCCACAAAACTTCGACCAGCAGCGGAGGTCGTGGGAGAAGTTTGGGAATGACGCTCCCCAAGGGAATCAGATCTGCTATGCGATGTCGGATGCTCCCCCGGCTCTCCAGAAAGCTCTAAGTCTCTGATAAGCTCATTGAGGCCGGACACTGTGGAGGATGGTGTCGGACTTGTCCCACGACTCGCAGAAACCGAAGGGACTGGGGTAGTAGTTCCCTCTGGCGCAGGAGGTGTGATAGAAAAGGAAGGAGTTCTGGGGCGCACAGATAAGTTGCTGCGAGGAAGGAGGTTCGAGGCGCAAACAGGCTCTCTCTCGATCGAAGGGATTGGTACATCCGGGTCGAAATTTGGAGTTTCGCGAGGGCCAATGACCTCGGAGGGACTTCTAATGGAAGCAGGCGTAGGTTGTATTGGATCGCTTCGCTCACTGTCACCATGTGAAAGTTGAACCTGAATGGCAACGAGCGCAGATGAATCGGCGACAGGGTAGGTGACCTAGAGCCGGACATTTAGTGCCAGCTTTCTCCTTCCGCAGTGTCTCTGAGATATAGTTGAACTCACTGGTCGTTTCACCATGGCTGCCGAGTTCTCGTGGTTGAGTGGTTGTCCAGTATAGGTCGAAGGCGGAGAGTTCTGTCGAGATTGACCTTAAATCGCTGAGGAAGAAGACACGGGCAGATATGATGGAGGGGCCTTTTGGACAATTAACCACACCCATGTCGTGCTCTGTGACCAAATCCTCCAACCACCCCTCGACCAGGAGCTAGAGGATGCCATTCCAGAAAGTCGACGCTAACGTCGGAGACGTGCAGGCTTCCACACGTTCCCTGCTGGAGAAGTGACAGACCACCAGGTGTATGTTTCGGCCGTCGAGGCGAGGCTGACAGATGCCCCCCCCAAAGTGCCTTGGCCTGAGTATTCATTTTCGAAAGCCACAGTCTGGAGAGAAGGTAACAAGTCTGTGAGATTCTGTCAGTTCAAGGGATGCTATGAACCAGGATGGGGTACCTAGTTCACCTAGGCTGCAAGACATAGGGGTTGCTGCATTCACAGCCCTGTAAGGGAGATAAGTATCTAGCTCACTAGGTAGTAATGGGTACATGCGAGTATGCAGGTTGCTACTTGGCGCCCCATCTCGATAAGCGCCCACCAGCAGAAATGGTAAGCGCTTGCGGATGTATGTGACACACAGTGTACCAACGAGCATTCATCCGGCGGGGTAGGGAGAGGCATCCCAGAACGCGCCGGGGTTCGAGAGATTGTGTCGGCCATGTAACCGAGAAGGTACTTGTGGCAGCCCAAGGGCGGTGCATGCGCCATCGAGGTCGCGGATTTCTATTTCAGCCACCATATACTAGGGTACTCACACTGAAACAGGGCCTATCACAAGAAACTGTTTCCACTCGAGGCGTACTCGTCAAGTCTATGAGGCAGTTGTATGCGCCCAGAGACGGCTTTCTTGTCCTTGTATTGGGTACAAATAGGAGGCTGGTGTCTGTACACTTGAAGTAGGTGGGGAAAGGGGAGCGATGCGCTGCCGATAGCCGACGATATGTCCACCATCGCTTCACACAGTTTGACAACTGGTAGGGTGTCGCGACATACCACACCAACCCAGAAGCGAAGTGCGCAATATAGCCAGGCTGTAAGTAAGTCAAGTTTGATTAGAATGACATACGAGGCTTCTGGGTTCTCCCGACTGGACGCCGTTGATGTTAGAGTTGGACGATGGCGCAATCACGCAGATGAGCTCGAAGAAAGCCATCTCGCGACCACGGATGCGGCAGGGACGGAGTTGCCCCGGTCATGGTGAAGGCTTGCATTTCAGCTAAAGGTGATTGATCGTGGAGTGGGAGGTCATTCCTTCAGCAGTCACTGGCAAGTGATGGTCAGTGTAAAGTTGTCGGGGGGAATTGGGTCGAGGTCGCTTCCGGATTGATTAGGGAAATGTGGATACCTGTCTAGGCTTAGTGGCGACCCGCCAAGGCTCGGCTGGAATCACCTCTTTTCGACAAGAGAAAGAATGACTCGGGAACGTGTACCTCGTACTGGACTCCAAGTTCCATGTTGAAACACTGCAAGTGCAAAGGACACCGGTATCAAATTACGCAAGCACGGACATCTACAGGTGTAGACACCTATTTACGTGGGCACTTGTCTCCTCCTCATGAACCTGAATTCACAGTTTTCTCCGCTTCCATAGTCCTTATACTCTTACACGCCGAAGAGTGACCGAGTAACAAACCACGCTCAAGGTCCAACGAGTCGTCTGTCTCCATACTTTTGACACCTCATAGACAGATAGACAGACAAACGGAAAAATAAAAACTTGGAGGTGATCCACGGGCTGTCCTGCCTGAGGGAGAAAAGATCCTCGCCACCTCACCTCACTGCACAACCAGGCGACAATAGCCTCTTGGTCGGAAGCGCAGGGTGGGAGGTTCGGTGTGGGAAGGAGGACAATTGCCGCAGATCTACTAGCAGACGTCACGCCACGAGAAGGAGTTGTAGAAGCCAGGAGATCCACGGTACAAGTCAACAGCAACGAGGACGGCAAGGGTAGTGACAGTGGCAGTGTCAAAAAACCTCGCGTCGGCGCCAGAGGTCAACACAAGGTCACAGAAAAGCGGGTGTTCAACCTGTAAGTATCGATGTACCTCGTATTGAATGTACTCATGCATCCGTCACTCTGTCTGTCTTGCGGCAGATTCAGGAACAGGTGGAACAGAATCGAGGTCGTTGAGAGAAATTCAGGCAAAGAGAGGAAGGAGGACGGACCGAAGAAAGGATTAAACAGTCCTTCAACGACCTAGGAAAATATTATCCATTTCGATCTGTGGTATTTCGTCAAGTCGATCATCTCAAAGACGTCGCAAAAGCTTTCCCCCGTCATCTCTGGAGCATACATTGATACGAAGCACATCAGCTCCGTGGCCTCGGTAGAGCATGAATTGATCCGCCAACTTGGCTATGGAGCGCTTTTTCCAACTTTCCCTTCCTACCAGGACAGTGCGTGACATGGAGCTTGGTCAAGACATTAATTGACCACCTGACCTCCTAGACTATTGTCAAGAGACGGCAATTACCAAGTGGTTGACACTTTGGGGAATTCCTTCGACGTGATACCAAGATCCGTAAAGACAGCATCATCGCCTGCGATCATCAGCTACGTTACACATGAGACATTCGGTTACACTCACCTTTCAAATGTTTAATCCGGATCTCATCCTCACCCTCCAGTTTCTCCATTTCCTCTTCAGGCGCAGCATTGTTCTCGCGTTCATCCTTGGGGCGTTGTTCGGTAGCCTTTTCATAATCCTCTCCAATCATCAGAAATTGTGCATTGTCATAGTCCAAGTACTTTGGTTCTAGGGGCTTCCACCGAAGACCTCGGAATTCGTCGATGATCTCCTGGGGGTACTTGGGTCCCTGCGGCACATTCTGGTTGCCCAGAGGAGGTTGCTCAGGGTTCTTGATGCTGGTCACGAAACTTCCACGCTGTTTGAGGCCAAAATCCTTCTGTATTTCACCAATCTCGGAAGGGATATTGACGATGTAGGCCAGATGCGACTCGCGCCCCGTAGAAGTGATTGCATAGACTCCCTCGGCAAGGGGAGTGACTGGGGGTATGTGCCTCGTGCCAGCAGTCTTGGTCTCGTACTCTGAACCGGCCATGAAGGACTCTTTGAGCTCCGCAAAACTAGTCTTGCATTTCTCGACGAAGGTAACGAATCGGTCCTTGCCGCTTTTGGGAAGTACCTTCTTAGGGACAGCCAGAAGACGACAGTTTCCTTCGTCACCGATGGGGCCATCCCCGAGTTTCGCGTCGAGAGGAATAGGTCGCATGACCATGTAAGAACGCGCAACATCTTTAATGTCCTCGGCATGATCGACGTTGACCCGGGCGCGGAAGAAAAAGTAGATGATGCCCTTTTCAAGGATGCTGGAGGGCACATCGTCTTCGCGCGCGCCGGGCTCAACAGCGTCGCCATTTGTCTCGGCGGGTTTGGCTTCCTCCTTGGGCTCTGCCTCTTTGGGCTCTGAGACTTCAGGTTTGGCATCTTCAGCCTCAGTGTGCTTCTCCTGCTCAGTGCTGTCCTCCTCTTTGGGTTGCTCATCCTGCGCTTTCGCCTCAGCGGCTTCACCACTAGGCTCCTCAGCCTTTGGTTCTTCGGGTTTTTCTGGCTCTGGCTCTGGCTCGGCCATTTCTTGATCAGCCTTGTCAGGGGCAGGTTCCTCGTGAGCTCCACTAGGTAGAATACGTTAGCTGGGATGCGACGGGCGAAATGGAGAAGCGCAAGTACTTCTGTTGCAGGGACTCCTCCAAGGTCTTCTGCTCTAGCTGCGCGTCCTTCTTGCCTCGCTTCGCGCTTGGTGAAGAGCCCGACGTCTCATTCTTACGCTTCTTGCCAGCCGGCGACGGCTTTGGGTGCGCCGGGGAAGAATTTTGCGAGCTCTGGGAGCTCTGGGTTTGCGCAGCGATGCGAGCGGAAGAGCGTCTACCGGTCATTGTGGGGCTTTGGATGCGATATCAGAGTGATGGGAAAGGTATTGTGGAAGACTACGGAGGGATGAACAAGGAGACTAGGATGGTGGTTTGATGGGAGGGGGAGGGTGGGCAGGATGAACAACAGAGATCAAAGAGCCATTGGGGTCGGGTCCGCGGCAACAAGCTCATTCTTGTCATGGTGCTGGGAGAGGAAGTGCAGCCAAAGTTAGTCCACCCTGGGAGGCTACCAGGCCCAGAGGCACAATGATGTAAGATCGGAACGAGAGCCGTGGCGGTGGTGGAAGCTTCTATCACAAGCTGCAGCGCGGGAGGGCACAAGACGTGGTGGTGAGACAAAGATCGGAGAAAGTCTTTGGTTCGGCTGGTGGAGAGCAGCGGAGAGACTGGAGAGAGAGGGCCGTGAGAGGGGGAAGAACCGAATAAGAGAAAGAGGATGATGCTAGTTGCTCCCTCCACTAGTCAGGAACCGCCCGTCAACCCCGCCAAATGGCTCGCCAATTGTCCCAATCTGGGTGTCTAGGTGCCAAAACTACCCTAATGCCTATCGCCTATCGCCGAACACAAAGTATTAACCCACAGTCCCAGTACCATTAGCTCAGTCCACCTGCGCATTCCGAGTAGATGTGTCCCAAGGTGCATTCCACAATGTATATCCTCCATCACCACCGTCCTTTTTCATCCAAGGTCCATGGCGTCAAGGTCTTCATGCTCAGCCCCGCCGTTCTTCAGCGGTGTTGATGGCGTGTGTGTTCCCTCGGGCGTCCCCGTCAACGACTCGACCATGGCCTCCTCGGATCGATCGGAGCTATCAGACCAGGCCTCTGCAATCTGCTTCTTCGCAGCCTGCCGTCCCAGTGGTGGCTTGCTGTTCCTGTTCTTCCTTCTCTTCAGTGGAGGTTGTCCAGCGTGTCCATCTACAAGCTCCGACACCTCGATCTCTGTGTGTTTAGGCGGGACATCGGCGTCATCATCGTCCATTTCCCTCGACATGCGTTTCCGTCCTCGTTCCCCATCATCGTCTCTTCTCGGGTGGCGTGAGGAATGAGGATCACAGGACAGCCTCCGTAGTTTGCTGGCCAGCTCATCATCAGTGTCAGGCCACAGCCTTCGGAATGCCTTGTCATCTTCAAAATCCGAGTCGGGTTCTTCGTATTGGTCGGGTAGAAGCACTTCAATGTCCCCGTCGTAGCCCATGTCATCGGCCGAGATCTCCTCGACAGAGTACCCATCACTCGATGCTCGTCGGGGTCGCTTCCGCCTGTACATCTGAAGCGCCATTGCTTGTCGGGGCGTAGGCTGTCGGCCATCGACTCTTTTCTTTGGGGAATGTGACCCGTTGTCTGCCGCGCTTGCTGAATGCCTCCTCATCCCAGAACTTGATTATCAGCGGCTATGCAGTCCCTCGGCGGCATTCTCACAAGTCCTCAATATTGCCAGAGATTTTCCTGTCGGACGTGCAAGGCCTTTTTCGGTCGTTGGGGCAGAGGCCTTCTTCAAATGTGGACAGCGAAGGATCTTCACTCTGCATATTTGAGATTCTGGCGGGCTGGAGAAATCATCTGTACCGCCATATTGTTTGACACGCCACAAAACCACCGAGTCTCCTAGTGGCAGCGTGAAGATGGAGAAGATTCTGACATTTTTGTGACAGCGGCCCAGGTGCTTCAGGGTGTCGCGGCGTCTGTCCTAAGCCGTTTACGTCATTCCATCGGCTTCTATTCGGTGCTACACAAAACTTGTGCCAGACTCAGTCAACTTTGCCTTGGGACTTGTAGAAGAAGTCATTCATCTCAATGGGTATGTATGATGGGATGGGATAAAGCCCAATGCACGCTTGTCCTTGCCATGCAGATAAAGAAAAGAAAAAGGAAACTTCAACCATTTGAAAGCAAAGCCCCTCTTCCCCTATTCAACGTGCAAAGCAAGAGAACAACAACCGTTCCAGACCTCAACAACGATCGCGTGCTGAGTAGGCATGGGTGCATTCTCGAGGCGATACCACGGTCAAGAAACAAACACGATATTCCCTTGCAACGCCGCTTATTGCTTGCCTCCTTTTTTTCCAACTCAATGAAAGTTATACCCTTTTACCCTTCAATCCCCCAAGCTTAATCCAGAGGATGCCATAGACCACAGAGCCTGCTGCCAACATCGCACCGCTGAAGCCTTGCATGCTCCTGTATCCATCGTTGGTGATCAGCTGGCCCCCGATCGGGGATCCGACCAGCACCGCCACCGCGACCACGCTGAACAAACACCCCGTCCGCACGCCGATCTGGCTGATATGGCTGATCTGCGCCACGCAACTGGGCAAGATACTGGCGCCGGCCCCGGAGCTAAAGCCGAAGATAAGACAAAAGACGACGGTGGCGGCCGTGCCGGAAGAAGTTACCCAAAGACACAGGGTGATGAGAGAGGAGAGCAGCGTCACCGAGAGGAAGACCGTGAAGCGGCCGAGTCGGTCGGCGAAGAATGGCGGGATCGTACGTCCGAATGTGCTAGCGGCGTTGAGGATTGCGACCAGATATTTGGCGAGAGAGTCCGGAACGCCCTGAGCGCGGGCAGAAAGGATGATGAACGTGAAGGGGAGGAACAGGCCTAACCGGACGGTTCTCAATCAGCCACTGAGCGCTTGCTGGAAGAATAAAATCCCAAGGCTGACCGGCAAGAGAAAATACGTACCCAAGAAAGACAAGAAACTCCCAAAAGCCAGCAAAGCAAAGTTCCCCTCCTTAAAGGGCTTCACAAAGTCCATGGGCCTCACGGGTTTTGCCATGGGTGGGATGCGACTAACAAGAGTCAGGTTCCCCAGGATCATCAACCCCAGAACCAAGAAAGCGCAGATGCGCATCGTCCAGCCAAACCCCACCTCGGGGATCAGTTTCTGAACCATGACCGGGAAGATGACACCGCCGATGCTCGACCCGGTAGCTCCAAGACCCAATGCGAGGGAACGGCGGCGGAAGAACCACGTCACGACGCAAGACATGGAGGGGTAGAAGATCATCGAGGCGCCCAGTGCGGAGCACACGCCCTGGGAGAGCAAGAACTGGTAGTATTTGTGGGATATTGAAGCCATCATCAGGCCAAAAACGTGCAGGAACGTGCCCAGCACAAGGAGGATCCGAGGACCATAGTTGTCTATCGCAGGAAAACAAAAAACCGTCAGTTCCGGATAAGCGTCAAAGCGGAGACCTCAGAGACAAGAGCGAGAAGCTGGAAGAGGGAAAACAAGCCGTACCATACACTCTGCCGACCCAGAGACCGCCGACGAACATCATGAATGCCTCGAGAGATGGAATCCATGCGATTTCCTGGGACGAGTATTGCTTGAGCTGATGCGTTTCATAGTATTCCTGAAAGACACCGATGCCTGGTTCGCGATCGAGGTTAGTCGCAAAGCCACGGTTTTCTTCCGTCAAGACTCACAGTTGATCCAGCCGAAACTGACAAAGATGCCACATGCCGCCCCAAACACGACCGTCCAGGCCTTGAGTCCTCCATCCGGGAACTGAGATGGGTCCATTGGATTGACAGCTGGAGTCACCGGAACCTCGTCACCTTCGGCTGCCTCGACCTTGTTCTCGCCCTGCGCGCTCCGATCGGGACTCGAGGTGGGATCGGCCACGACCTCTATGGATTTTTCCAGATCCTGGTCCATCGTCGCTGCCATAATGACTGGAACTGCTGGACTTTGCTGCAGCGCCGTTTTCGTGGGCCAGATATCGTCGCTAGCCTGGGCTATTGGCCAATGCCCCTCGTAAAAATAGCTCGGCCAAGATTTCTGTATGTATCCTAGGGAAAACCCGCCATCGAATTGGACCAGGCCAAGTTTATTGAGAATCAAGAATCAAATGTTTAGAAAAGACGAAGAGGTTTCCTGGATGTTCTGAATGTCAATTGGAGAAAAACCTCGGACAGTCTTTGTACCCTTTGGCTATCGAGGGGCTCTTCGAAAGCGATCGGTCAAATAGACCAATCCTGACCAGTTAAGCTTCGGATCGCAGCAGAGAGATTGGTAATGATGTATCTCGTACAAAAGGCCCGACAAATGGCAGGGTGACAATGGAACCAAAGTAGTCTTAAGTGTGGCCCTGAGTCTTAACCCTCCCCGAGATTGGCGTAGGGTGCGTTGAGTCATAGAGCTTCGAATCCATTTTGGCGTCCAGTGGTCGGTGTATTCGGACCTTTCGAATGCAGGGTTGGCCATGTTCTGTACCATCTCCAGGTGCAAAGGAGACCGAGATATCATTTCAAGGTCGACGGACGAAACTCGACCGATACGAAGCGGCTTGTACGAAAGCGCGTACTGCGGACAATTGTGGACATGAAGAAAGAGGAACAACCCCTCGGAGATATGGAAAAAGCGAGAGTCCGAAACGATCGAAGAGGCCAAAAAGGGAATGGCAGTGAGTTTAGCGCCCGATCAGAAACGGCAAAGATTGGCTCCACCAGGTGAAAAGTGGGGGAAAGTGGGGTAGGCCGTATTACTCATAATACGAGGCACTCTGTTACTCTCGTACCCATGTATGCCCTGATGGAGTACAGGGTACACACGTTTTCTGGTTGATATTCTGACTTGATATTTGGAGATCCGTTGCTTGTTCATGCTTGTTAGGCCTTCCATCTCGTGGTTCCGCGCTCGGATACATTTGCCACGTGGGAGTTGTGAATCATAAGTCTCTGTTCATCCGACGGCTTCGAGACAGCCCGACTGGAGACAAGCAATGTTCCACTCATCTGGCATTTCTTATCCTGAGAACAGCTATCTCAACGTGCTAATCTCCAATGTGTGATGCTTGAGTTACAAGACAGCCCAGCGATTTCGCACCTATATCCATCGCACATCGTCTACACCATGCATGTTCGATCAAATCCTCAAACCACTTGCACCTTTCCTGAGAACAAGTTGGTGGTAGAGTCTTGCTTGTTGTAACTGCTCCAAGCGTTTCTTTGCATCCTTCATAGCCTTTTCAACATGAGCCAGGACGCGAGTAGTCGATATTTGTGGCACCCTGCCAAAAGCGGGCGCGAATATGGAATTGGGTATCGGGTTCGATCCAAAGGGATTTCGCCATGGTTCCTAACCATCAGTCTCGTCCTCATCGATCAAAAACTCGACAAACGGATCCATCTCGATACATTGAAATAGGTGTCCCCACCTCATGCGGAACTCCCTTCTCTTGTACAGGCTACTGGTATTCAGCCTGAAGCTGACCAGCTCCACCTTCCACTGTTTTTCCAAGGCGCGTTCGACCATCCGCAGAAACCCGCCCGAGTACTCGGCCTCGGCAGCGTCGCCAGTGGCGAGAACAATGGTGCTAGGTTTCTCCGAATCAACAATCGACTCGAGGATCTTCAGGTGTAGAATTTCGTCCACAGCCTGTTCGACCCACTTCTCCGGAGCCGACAGCCTGGGGAGACCTGCGTTCGTTTCAGAACCACTGGTCTCACCCCCAGACCGGGACTGATATTTCTTCTGACGCGGCGTTAGCTCCTTGGCCTTGTGCACACGCTCGAGAATGTTGGTTTCATAGCCGATCGAGGTGGCCTGGTGGATTGCCGCATATTTGTCGGAACCAACCAGGGCACGTTTGGCGCATGGACGACCGCGTTCGAGGATGAGAGAAAGATTGTGGAATGAGAGAGGGACTCGTCTAAGGCGGGTCTCACGCGGCATACCACGTGCCAATTTCAAGCAATCGTGGAAGCCGATGGATATATTCGACATGTCAACGAAGACATGGATGCCAATGTCAGACGTATTCAGTGGAGTAAAGGCAGGTTCAAGTAGTCCAACATTCCTTAGATATGTTTGCTCTTCAGGATGACGACGCATCAACTGGGTAATCAGAGCTTGTTTTCTGGTTCTGGTGGTCAGTCCATCACGAGGAACAATGACTGTGTGCGGCGAAGGTGTAATGACAGGCGTGATAGGCCATACAAAGCGGTTGCAGACAGGGTAATCCCGTTTCGGAGTTCTGATTTCGACCTTGGGAGGCGAGGGAGAGGTTGGAGGGGAACTGTTGTCGCGCAAGCCTGGTCGGCTGCGGCCGAGAATACTGTCAATAACAGCTCTGCGGTCCGGGGAGCGACGTAGCGACTCGAGTTCTTCTCCTGATTCCAGGTCCGTGGTGTCGGAGACAGTCCTCTCCTCGGTGGAGAGCTTTTCAGCTCTTCCCCTGGCTCTGGCTCTCCTCGCGGCACGCTTCTGGTTGCGAATGTACGCGGCAGTGGCCTTATTATTTGGCGGTTCGACGTTGTCTTCAAGGTCAGCGCCATCCACCTCATCTCGCCAACGCACGCCCTTGCTGATTTGGTTCAGATCGACTTCCGCCACCTCTTCATCGTTGACCTCATATTTGACGAGCTCTGCAGCTTGCTGTTCATCAGCAGTGTGAGGGCACCCCAGGTAATCCCACACAATAGAGAAGTCACCGAGTGAGCCTCCGCCAGTGTTGTCGCCTGCTTTGTCCTTGTTCTTGTAATTGACAGGTCCAGGGCTGGTTGGAGCATCGCCGTACTTGAGGGCGAGACTTTTCAAGAGTCTGATGGCATCGTCGAGGTCCCATGATGGGAGTTTCTGGTCGTCCGGCATGTGCACTTTCGGGAGCAGGCGACCTTCTGGATCTTGATCGGGAGGGGGGATGGTTAGAGGAAGGTAGGTCTGTTTGGGAAGGTCAAGCGGGATGCACGGCGTTTCATGTCTCTACTTTTTGTGTGCAGCAGTAGTGAAGGTTGTCAGTGAAGTGGCAGAAGAGCTTGGCTGGAAAATCGGGACAAAGAAGTGGTTGTTGTTATGAGAGTGGTGGTCATGGGGCTGTGAAGTGTTGGTGATTCATTCCCACTTCATCGGCCAGTCATTCGTTCCCCCGACATTCGCTAGGACCATATGTGCGCTAGTCTATTTGGGGGCTAGCTCACCTCACTCCCACTTCACTTTGAGCGTACGCCGCTTTTAGACTCTCCTCACCACTGGGACTCTCAGGTGCAGGGCATTGTGTTCATCAAGAACGTAGGACGTTACCTAGTTAGCTGGGAAACGTGATGAAATTAGGCCTCTCATCTAGTTCAACAACCAAATGTGACTCTGTCTTTGTGGCAGATAGGGCTGGTCCTTTCGCGGCAAGGCTGAGTGCACCCACCTGTCCTCAAAAACACTACTCGCGACATATCATATCAACATGAGATGTCGCGTCGCAGGCCTTCCTCCTCTCGGTCTCCCAGCATGGCTTGTCCTCGGCGCCGACCGCAAAAGCTCTTGTAGTAGCCCGAGTTTGTACCAGAGTGTCATAACCAGATAGTTGTGGGGTATGAACTGAGCGCTTCCCTTCTTCGTCCATCAGTCAATATTTTTCAAGGAACAATGAACGTAATGAATTGGCATGTTCAAACCTTCCAAACGTTCACATTTCTAAATATCTCTTCGGCTATCCTTCCTTGTTCTTATGACCGCTTCGCTAGACCTGGCGATCGACAATGACAAATCGTTGGCACGATGGCACACTTGGCTCAGGCAATACCGCCTTTCCACATCCCACAAACGGTAGTTGATGTCCAGTCCCATGTTGTGAGGACACTCTGACAAGGCGTGCGTCCAGATCCGTGCTCCGACATCAGACGGCCGCTCTTCCTCGAATGAAGCGACCCTCCTCGTCTCCCGCATGGGAGACCTCCCTCACGAAGTGGTCCTTCTGATCCTGACCAAACTCTCTTACCGGGGCCTCGTCCTCACCCTGACCTGCAAGAAGATGGCGAACATTGTCCTCGACGATCCCATTTTCACCATTATCGCGGCCTCCGAAGAAGCAAAGCACGCAGCTCTCGGCCATTTCGAGCACGTCGCTCACGCCTTTCCACGCCGCTTCCACCACAGATCCCTTTTATCTTGCAGCCATTTCACCTGTCCCTTTTATATGCGACAACTGACAGGGTGGCAACGGCAAGTGGAGAAAACAATGCTGGAGTTGGGAAACCACAGGGCCATTGAACAGGAGGAGGATAAACTTCGGCAAAACACGGAAGCAACAAGCAAAAGTCTTGATAGAGAGAAGGCGAGCTAATGCAGAGCTTGGTGCTCCACCAGCAGAGGAAAACAAGCCGCAGCTTTGTCTCAGCTGGTTCGCTACTTGAAGAGACGTTGAATAGAACCAAAGACATGCAAATCCATCCCCATGGTGTTGTTGGAGTACTCGGGTGCCTCGGATGCTTCCCCATCCAGAGGAGAATCAAGATAGATCTGCCCCCCTTCTGCGCCCCTCCTCAAAAAGATCCAATAGGAGACCTTGCGGTGCTTTGCCGGCGGGGAGTGTCCTTGGGTTCTTGGTACGTCACAGTCTTCTGAAAACCCCCATCGTTTCCCCTCTCGCTATTTCGAAATTCCCACTGTGGTTCCCCGTTGGTGCGAAATCCGAGGCTTGATTTCACTATATTGTCAACCTAGAGAGCCCAAGACGTTGCTGCAATCTCGGAAAATGCCCCTGCTTCGCTGTCTCCGCTTCCACTCCTCCTTCAAGACGCCGTAAACGGCCACTGTTGCCTCAGCTTCGTCCACACTCCGCAGGCGGAGTGCTCTTGGGATGCGGGGCGAGCTCGACAGCTGTAATGTAGAAGCCCCTCAAAATCCGGTATTTCAGATCCGGGCCATCTGCCTCTCCCAGACCTGCGCTCTGATTTTCCAGTCCGTGGTTCATATCGTCGCTTGTCTTCCACGATGTCTGCTATCCAAGCCCAAATCGACCGGGGCGCCGTGCCTAACCATGTTTCCAATGTCTGCCCCAAAGGAACCAAATTTCACGTCCTCGAGGTGGGCTGGCTCGAATGTGACGAGGCTTTCGTGGTTCGTGGCGGGAACACCAGCCTGAAGAGCACCGAAAAAAACTCCTTTGTCAACAAACGGAGAGAGCTGCCCATGTACTGTATCCTTATCGAGCACCCGCATGAGGGTCTCATCCTGTGGGAGACAGGGTGTGGCAAGGACTACCCGGAGATCTGGGGTCCCGTGCTCTCTGACCTGTTCTCGCGCGTGCGCTATGAGCCTCAACATGAGCTGAAGGCTGCGGTAGAGGCCACAGGAAACAAGCTCGAGGATATTAAGAAAATCATCATCGGTCATCTCCATCTCGACCATGCGGGAGGATTGGACGAATTCCTCGACAAAAAAGACGTTGAAATTTGGGTCCACGATCGGGAACTCAAGTCGGCTTTCTGGTCTGTCGCGACGGGTGCAGATGTGGGTGTCTACATGGAACATTACCTCAAACTGAGCTTGTATGTCGTCCCTGCACCAGGCTGTCATGTGTCCATGATGCTGATATTTTGTAGGAATTGGAAAACTTTCGATGAGCGAACGTTCGATTTTTGCCAAGGTATCACCTTGCACCACCTCCCAGGACATACTGACGGTGAGAGTGCCATGCCTGTTTCCGAAAAAGAAGTTGCTGATAGATAGGTAACAGGATTGATTGGAATGCAAATCAATATGCCGGATAGTGGTACGTTCTTCTTCATCAGTGACCACTGTCACGTTATCGAGAATGTGAGTGTCCATCCATCTATCGATCTGCTCAGTACTGAACTGTCCCTCTAGTGGCGCGACGGTATTCCTCAGGGATGGCTCGCCAGAGATCATCCATCATGGTTCCAGAGCACTCAGCGGCTGAAGCAACTGGAGAGGACGACCAAGGGTAAGGTTATCCCAGGCCATGACAAAGGAACATTCGAAGAGTTGGTCGCCAATGGGAACACGTATACCTGAGTCGACCAGCGGACCGGCTTTAGCAGAGTCTGAAATAGGATGGAGTGAGCTTTTGGTGTCCACAGAACGAGACTATCAAACGTGGTAATACATTCGGCGCATGTGCATCTCCACATCCCTTCAGCAGGTGTCTCGTCTTCACACATGTTGACAGATTTCGTCGACTTCAGCGTCACTGCTTCCGAAGCGTGAAAACATGACTACCGGTGGGACCTGGGTGCGAATGACAACGGCATCGCAAACTCCAGTGTTACCTGCTTGGAATCATGAACTGCTGGAAGACTCGTGATCCGCCATTGTCCATTGGCTTGCGTTCAGAGTAGAGTCCATCATTTCCGGTGTATCTTCGGATGGTTCATCTCGATACCGCTCGCCCGAGTGGTCATTGGCGACAGAAAATCCAACTGATTTGGTGTTTTTATTATTGGCTTTCTTTTCAGCCAAAACAATATCACCGTTCCACGGCTGACATTTATAGATGATCTCTCCACAACGCAGACATGTCCAACCAGCACCCTCCTCTGCTTCGATCTTAGTGGCTATGCACACGAAGCAGTATATACAGCCGCATGGTATTGTTTCGTAAGGATTCACCACGTCGGTAGTGGCCGAACCAATGACGCCTCCTCCCGCGGCGGTATTCGCTCCTAGGATCTCGGCTTCAGACGTAGACGTTGGGTTCTGGTCTTGATAACAAATTGGGCAAGTCCGCTCGGGTAGAAAAGCCAACGGCCCGCTTTTTATCCTATCGCCGTCGTCCTCTGCTTGTGTAGGTGATTTCATCGCATCTTTTGTTTTTTTCCACATTCTGGAGAGCCATCTTCGCCATCGACTGATGCCGACCAACGGCAAAAGAAATAGTAAAAATTCTGTAAAGGCATGCCAGACTAGTTGACGATTGAGGTACTCAAACGAGACTTCCCGGCTAACTTGATTGGATGGCGACATAAGTCTCAATCTCAGCAAGCGATCTGTAAGGGTCCGGTAGCGCCCATTCACAAGAAATACCAGGAAGGAGCAAAAAGCGGCGATCGAATGGGTTGTGGAGATGAAGGAGGTGAAGCGCATCAGCGTCTGGACGGCGTCTGAAGGAGCTGTATAGCCTCGCTCTTGATCAATCAGCCAGTCCTCCCACTTATCCCATCCATATCGTCCGAAGACCGTCAAAAGCCCGTAGAGGCTCTTTTGCCATCTTGTTGGTTTGGGAAGTGCCAGTCCAGGCTTTCTCGCGTCAACGTATCGGAGGTTCTGTAGAGCTGCGCCGTACGAAGCGTCATTGTCCCATATAGATAGTTTGAACAAGACCGCCCGGAGAGCAAGTAGAATTTCTTGCGACCAGTCATCCTGAAGATGTGGTCCGAGGTATTTTAGAGCATCCGCCACTTGTGTCTTCAATAAACCCAGCAACTCTTCGTCGAGAAGTTCAGCATCCACTTGCCCAACTCTAAAGGCGGGTCGTGTGCCTTCCGAGTCTAGCAGAGTTATCCAGAACGATGATAGTTTGGGTCGTAGGGACTGCGTGAGTCGGGCGAAGGAGGAGCGGCTACTGTTGATCTCGGGCTGTAGCGTGAGGGCGGCGCGGGCTTCCTGTTGTCTGGCTGTCTGCCGTGCTAGGATGCGTTCTTGAGCAGCGGCAAAGCTGCTGGATGACATGACGTGGTCATCTGAAGGTAGCATGCAGAAAGGGGAGGAGGTAGAAGGACAATCAGAAGATTTGTGGTCTAGGTTGAAAAGCAATAATATTAAATCAATGAGCAACCGAGGCTGGCTTCGGTGATAGTTTGGCCAGTGGCTTCGCCGATCCGTCCATGTTGCGTTCCTCGTCACGAGCCGCAGCCTCTTGCTGTTTTAAGGCACCAGTAGCCCTTTTCAGACCATTTTTATTGCTGCCCATTGTGTGAAGCCACAACGAAAGGCTGGGGCTCCTTTAATGTGTTTCATCAGAGCCTTCTCCATCAATCTCGGTCTCATGTTGACAAGAATCTTGCCGGCACTTTGCAATCTCTCCTCTTGCCAAAGATCCCTTCTCTTCAACACCAGCATGACAAGTGTCGCCAGCATTTAGGTCACTCCACGACGAAGATGCCCTCCTTCACTATCGAGGCCGAGGGTGAAACTAATCCTCTGACCAGGAATGCTGTCATATCTACCCTCCAAAGCGCCTCGCTGCCCACGGCCCAGAGTCTGAAAGTGGCCACGCAACAGATTGGGAACTGGGAAAAGTCGCCTGGCTATTATGCTCTCCTTCAAGATGTCTACGCCGACTTCTCCCTCAGCCAAGAAGTACGCTTCCAGGCCATCATCCAACTCAAGAATGGCATCGACAAACACTGGAGGAAAACGTCCGTAAATCCTATCAGCAAGACCGAGAAGGAACAGATCAGATCGAGGGCTATCGAAGCGGGCGTTCACGAACCCATCTCAGCCCTTGCACTCCAGAATGCTCTAATGCTCGCGAAGATTGTTCGGTACGAATTTCCCCATGACTGGCCGGATGTCATCAACGTCATGATACAACATCTTCGAGCCGCCAATGAGGATCTCAGTGCGAATCTCTACATCTCGAACATCTTGACCATTACCCTGCAGATAATCAAGGAGCTGGCATCGGGACGTCTACAGCGCACGAAGAAGAGCCTTCAAAATGTGGCATTGGAGCTTTTGCAGGTCCTTGGGCGTCTCTATGTCAGTTTGGTGGCTAGGTGGCAGTCGGTCGCTCCTCAAGCCGATCTTGCTAGCACGGTCAGCAGTCATTCGGCGCTGAAGACATTGCGGAGACTTCTCGTGGTTGGTTTCGAGAATCCTCATCGAGAAGAAGCAGTCAAGGAATTCTGGAACCTGCTGCAGAATCACCAACAGATATTCTGGGCATCATACACTCAAGAACTCCCAGCCGAAGCTCAAAGTATGCTCTTGAAGCATCTCCTGCAGTTGTCCAAATTATTTCTCGACATGGCTCGAAATCACCCTGCTTCCTTCGTGCTTCTCGGCTGCATGGACATTCTGAACCGCTCCTGGTCTATAATCAGCGAGACGGAGGCCAAGCAGGCGTCCTTGCAGGGGAACTTTGACTGGAAAGTATACCGCAGTGGCGACAATGCTGAAGAGTCACCAATCGAGAAGCTTCGCTTGAAAGGCCTGTTGTTATTCCGTGCTTGCCTGAAGATGGTCTTCAATCCAGTCCAAACATTCAAATACGTCACCCCAGAGGACAAGCAAGACAGGAAACATGCCGTCGATTACGTCAAAAACACAGTCCTTACGCAAGACTTCGTTCTTCGATTGATGGAGCTTTTAGTGACCCAATACTTCATCCTTCGGCCTTCCGACTTGCGAGACTGGGAACAGGAACCAGACGAATGGGAGCGCCGAGAGGAAGAGATTGCAGACGCGTGGGAGTTCTCGATTCGCTCATGTTCGGAAAAATTATTCCTCGACCTAGTCATCAACTTCAAAGAGCTTCTGGTTCCACGGTTACTCCAGGTGTTCTATCAATACGCCACCATTTCGAATACCGATGTGCTCCTGAAAGACAGCCTCTACTCGGCCATTGGAATAGCAGCCGCCTGTCTAGAGGACGTCCTTGACTTCAATACTTTCCTTCGCGAGACCCTGGTGCAGGAAGTACAGATGAACAGACCAAATTACAATCTCCTTCGGCGACGCACTGCAATCTTATTAGGCCAATGGGTCCCAATCAAACCAGAAATACTCGATCGAATCGCAGTTTATCAAATATTCACCCACTTGCTTTCTAGCCGAGAGCCCCTCAATGACCATGTCGTTCGCGTAACGGCAGGACGGCAGCTGCGTCTCGTATTAGAGCCTTTCGAATTCAGCTACTCTGATTTCAGCCCCTACGCTACGCCTCTGCTAGAAAGTGTCATATCCCTCATTGCTGAGACAGAACTGTCTGAGACAAAAATGGCATTACTCGAGACAGTCAGAGTGGCGGTGACGAGGCTGGAAGGCCACATAGAACCATATGCACAGGGCATAATGTCAATGCTCCCGCCACTATGGGCAGAATCTGGTGAAGAACACTTGATGAAACAAGCAATCTTGACCTTGATCACCGCAATTGTTAACAGTCTTGGGCAGAAGAGCCTGGCTTACCATGGACCCATTCTCCCCCTAATTCATGACTCCATTCAACCACAGTCGGAAGCAATTGTGTATCTACTTGAAGAGGCACTCGAACTGTGGGCTGCCATTGTACAGCAAACCCCGACAGAGCACGCCTCTTCAGACCTGTTATCCCTATCTCAATCTCTCCTACCCCTGTTGGATATGGGCGGTGAGCTTCTGCGGCAGATATTCGAGCTCACAGAATCATATACGATATTGTCGCCCGCTACTGTCCTGTCACCCCAGTTCCTGACACCGCTCCTCACATCAATGAAATCTTTCTTGCCGGCTCTATCAACCAGTCGAGCAAGGGATGCGTCATTGGCACCTCATGTTCTAGAAAATCTCGTTTCTACAATGTCGGTCGAGTCTCTGTCCAGTGTAGATCCTCAACAGGGCCTCACACATCTTTTGGAATCGATGCTGAATACCCACTACCTGGAATCCGTGATGGGCCTCCTCAAAGAAGCATACGACTATCATCAGGATCCTCGTCCGACCCGCAAACCACCAGACATCATTGGCCCGGGAGAAACGAGCCTTTTCAGTCTCCTGGCACGTATGGTTCTCCTCTCGCCAGACCAATTCGTTCAAGCAGTAAACGCTACCAACGTTACATCCACATCAACCTCAGCGCCATCCTCTGTTCTCCCACCGGCCGAATGGCTTCTGACAGAATGGTTTCTTCACATTGACGCCATAGGTGACATCCTGCGCAAGAAGCTTCAGGTCCTTGCCCTGACAAATCTGCTTGCCTGTACCATTTCTCCACGTTTTCCGACAGTCATGCTCGAGAACCTCGAGACAATGTTCACAATCTGGACCGATATTTGCACTGAGCTAGGTCAAGAAGCAGCAGACGAGTCCCAAGGAGATTACCTATGGCATAACCGTCATGGAGATGGTGGAGATGTTCCTGAATGGCCTGACGCAACACCAGAGGATGGTCGGAAGAGGGTCTTGAGTAACCACGATCCAATCTATACCATTAATGTACGCGAATTTATCGGGTCGAGGTTGAGGCAGGTGATTGAGAGGACCGGCGGGCTGGAGAATTTTCAATACCGTTGGCTAAGTCAAATTGACGGAACGATTGTTAAGAGCTTCGCGAATCTGAAGTTGATGTGACGCGAAATTATGATGAGTTGGAAACAGCGCGACACGACACTTTTGCCGATATGTTCAACAACCGATACCAATACTTGTTCTCGCATGCGGATGATTTACCTGCCTTCAGGCGGTCTTATGTGGAGAGAGAGAGAGACAGGCTCTGTTATCAAGCAGAACCTTGCTCAAGGCTTCGGAGCAGTCTTGCTGGCAGACTTGGTCCTGATGAAAACAATTGGGGCTGGGTGGGATCGTCAAGCAAAGCTCAGCACGGGATTAGCTTGGATGAGAGCGAAGAGTCCTTGTCAACAGAGAGCACATGTCCGGAATTGTTCTATGTAGGAGCTCACTGGAGAGGAGGAAGTTTTGGTGGCCTAGATACTGTGGACAAGACGAGACACCTTCGCTCAAATGCTTGGTTTGTCGACTCGAGTGGACAGCGAATGAATGCGACGCTTTGGTTATAGAAGCCATGGCAAAGGACATGAACGTGCAGAACCCAAATACGAATTCCCATTGTTTGAGGGATTAATGAAACGTGCCACCCATTTATTCCCCCCTTTTCCTTATAACACCTCTGCTCTATGAATCTATCGACTGCACCGATTCTACCCCTGATATGGAGCCCTGTCTGGTGTCGACGAAGGTGGGCGCCTTCTTCAGGCCAACATGATACCGCATAAACATGGTGTCGATAAAGTGCTCGTGTTTGATGCCCGGGGGTTTCTGGGCGGCAAACTCCTCGATCGCGTCTTGTGGCCGGTAGCCCAGCCTCTCGATCAAGTAGCAGCAGATGAAGAAGCCCGTGCGGTTGTAGCCGTAGTGGCAGTGGACGCCGATGGTCTTGCCCTCGACGGTGTGGGGGTCCTCGAGGCGCAGGCGGTCGACCAGGGCGATGAAGTCGGCGACCTCGACGGCCGTGGGGGGAACTTTGCTCACGGTCGGGAACTTGTGGTACTGGATGCCGCCGCGCTCGAGGGCCTTGGTGTCGTAGACGGGCGAGTCGTGCGAGATGTCGACGACGGCGAAGATCTGGTCGCTCCAGTTCCGCACAAACACCGACGGCGTGTGCACCTCGTCCTGCTCCCGCAGCGTCTTCATGGCCCGGAAGATGCCAGACGCGGGAGGGTGCCCGATGGCGCCCGACACGGGCAGCACCTTTTTCCACTTCTCCAGGTTCTTCACGTCCCATTTGCCCGAGGTGGTCAGTTGCTGGAGTTGCCAGCCCAGTGAAAGTTCTGGGGAGACGTAGCGCGCCAGGAAGTCTTCGATCAAGCCCGCCACCGTGCGGTAGGTCGAGTGGTCGTACATCAAGGCGTGAGCTGCGGGCGAAGGCAGGATTGCTGTCTTGACAATCTTCGAGTTGTGGCTGGACATCTCGCTTGTTGAGGGAAGGGTGCCGAATTGGCGTTCATCCGCCATTGGGTCGGGTTTGCCCTGACTCGAGGCGTTTGCGGTCGTGCGCTCTGAATCAGTGGCGTCGGTAGGTAGTGTTGTGCTCTGAGGACCCCCTTTGCTCTGCTCACCGACCGGGAGCTTCTTCAGGAAAGAAACAATGGTTGTGAGCTCGGCGGGCTTTGTGACGGTGTCTGCCTCGCCAGCGATAAGGAACAGAGGCACCTGGATTCTTGCCCAGGTGTCCTTCCCAGGCAGACCGCCTATTGGTTTCCCTGCGGAGTCGTACTGTGGCAGACAGCCCAACGCAGAGCGTTTCCAGACCGGTGTTTTGAAGTCCTTGTTGAACGCTAACTGGAGGCGGCGAAGGTCTATTCCAGCCGCCTTTCCGGCCATTCTTTCAACACTTCGAGAGTTGACGCCCCCTCTTCGGTCCAGGGCTCTCAGTATATTGAGTGCTATGTCCGGGAGAGCTAGGAACCGCCTTGCCGAAGTTGTCTCAGACGGCGAGGGTGGAGTAGCCTTGGGACAAATACCAACAAACCCTTCTACACGCAATGGGAATGAAGGAGACGTTGCTAGCACTGCAGCGAGGGAGCAACCCATGCTGTGGCCAATAAACACCACCTTTTTATGTCCGTGCTGTTCACAAATATCTCGAATGGCCGTCTGCCAGAGCTCGCAGAACGCAGAAATGGTATAGGCATCATGGTCCTTCGGCGAGAATTTGGACATGCCATGCCCTGGCAAATCAATGCCGAAACATGGGGCTATATTGACCAAGCTTCCGAGCAGGGGCGCAAACTGAGGTAAAGAGCCACCCAATCCATGAATAAAGACGAGTAGAGGGAGATCTGCGATAGCTTGGAGCTTTTCGGCATGTGGATGAGGATGATAAAACGTCCTTATTGACGGGTACTCGGCGTGCTTGGTTTTATATGACTGGACATATGAATGGTTCTTGAGCACGGAGTGATCATTGTCAGTTACAGCGGCCGACTCCTCCTCCTCCGTCTTGGAAGCTTTGCTCGAGGGGAGATATGACCTTGCAATATACAGCAGACCAAAGCCCACAAATAAGCCTAGAGCAGTGTTAATCGCTAGCATCCAAGGCTTCGTTGTTGGGCGACCCCATAACTCTTGGGGGAACTGGCGGCTCCCCGACAGCCGCAAAATATTGAGACTCATGGTCCAAATCTCACAAGCTCATTTTGAGGGTCCCAATAAGAGTGTATCGAAAGGTTGTCCAGCACATAAAAGTCGGAATAGGGGTGTTGGCCCCGAGTGCGGTCTGTGGGTGAGCAATGCGACTAGCCGGTGGACGGCGAGGCTAGCGATGCCCACCGTTTGAAAGACAATTCCTGCTCTAAAAACATTCTGATATTGGTATCTCTGAAACCTGAAGGAAGAATGAATCGTCAAAGCAAACACTTGTGCGAGCGCCACCAGAAAATCCCACAATGACGATCAAAACGAGTCTGATTGACTTTTGATGGGATCGGAACTTCGTGGACTCTCGGAGAATCTGTTTGTCCGGGTATTCGGTGCAGACTCGTACCAGTACGGTGGAGTGAAGAATCGCCCGCGGCACTTTATCTGGCTTGCTGCTTGGTTGCGACAAATCGACAATGATCGATAACAGACTTCATTGACTCTTGTTTGCACCTTCTCTAACACCCGTGTAGGTGCGCCTCGAAAGCCTATGCACCAAAGGTGGTTGAGATGGACTCGACAGCGGCTCCCAGTTCGCCTCCTGACTGCCAACGGTCCCTCTGATTGTCAATCACTTTTTCGCAGTTTCCATTCAAAGCCCCGATCGTTGCAGCAGGACCAAAGTCCTCTTCGGAAGCAGCTCAAAGATGCTGCAAAAGCAGTGCGAACGCTCCCACTAGCTCCGGCAGAGGCTGAGAGCCCGGATTTGCTGGAAAATTGGGAATTGACAGTGGGCATTGAAATCCATGCCCAGCTCAATGCCTCTCGCAAGCTTTTCTCGCGTAAGACCCCTCTCTCTCCCTGTCTAGGTATTGTTCTGAGACTGGGTAGCTGGTATAACGGCGCCGACTACGGTTCCAAACAGTCAAATTGCTCCTTTCGACATCGCCTTGCCTGGTAGTCTCCCACTCCTCCAGCCGGCTGTCATCCTGCCAGCCCTTCGTGCGGCTACCGCCCTCGGGTGTACGATTGAGCCAGTCAGCAACTTCGACCGCAAACATTATTTCTACCACGATCAGCCTGCGGGCTATCAGATCACTCAATATTACCACCCCTTCGCGAAGAACGGTCGTGTTGTGTTAGCCACCGAAGATGGGCTGGAGGAAGGTCGCTCGGTCACGGTGAATATAAAACAGGTACAATTGGAACAGGACACTGCTAGAACGCAGGAAGATGATATCAACACGGCACTGATAGACTTCAACCGTTGTGGCCAAGCGCTGATCGAGATAATTTCGTTACCCGACATACACTCTCCTCGGGATGCAGCCATCTACGTCAAGAAAATTCAGTCGATCCTTTACGCTGTTGACGCTGTCACAACCGGCATGGAACAAGGCGGCCTCAGGGCTGATGTCAATGTCTCCGTCCGTCGTCGAGGCGCTGAGGAGGGCTTATTTGCCTATAGCGGCGTGACAGGCCTCGGTCAACGTACAGAAATCAAAAATCTCAGCACCTTCAAAGGTATCGAAGATGCAATCAAGGCGGAGAGAGACCGCCAGATTCAAATCCTCGAATCCGGCGGGGTGGTTCAGGGCGAGACCAGGGGCTGGTCCATGACAACCCCCAATGAGACAAGAAGACTTCGAGGAAAAGAGGGCGAGGTGGATTATCGATATATGCCCGATGCGGATATCCCTCCTCTCTACATCGATCGTGACTTGATCTCTTGGATTGAGAAGACTCTACCTCCGACGGCCAGCGAATTAGTACAGATGCTAGTTCAAAAGTATGGCCTCAGTTTCACGGATGCGGTGACCTTGGTTTCGCTCGATGACGGCGAGAGATTACTCTATTTTCAAGACATTGTCGATGAGCTGGTGCCAAGCAGCCGCTTCACAACAACGCCAAAGGTTCACGGAAAGACGGTGGGAAATTGGGTGTTGCATGAACTGGGTGCTCTGCTTTCCACCGAAGAAAAACAATGGAGTGGCAACCTGGTTTCCTCCAAATCGATGGCTGAAATAATCTATCGCTTGAAAGACAACCAGATTACAGGCAGTTCGGCTAAACGTATTCTCAAGCTCATCTATAATGGTGACAAACGACCTGTCTCACATATCATCAGACAAGAAGGCCTGGGCTTCTCAGAGATGTCGACTGATACCTACCAAGCAATCGCGCGAGAAATCATCGACAAGTTCCCTCAGCATGTCAAAGACATTGTCGAAAAGGGCAAACTCGGGAAAATGCAGTTCCTCATGGGGCAAATGATGAGACACCCCCGAAAGGGCGATATGCGCGCCCCAGAGGCTGAAAAAACACTCCGCCAGCTGATCTTGGGCAGCAGCGGATGATGCCGAAAGCAGCAGGGAACAACGCTTGGGTCTTTGTGTTCAACGACAGGGTCCCTCGACGGATCGCCCAGGAAAGGGGATACAAACCACGCCATCAAGTATAACGGCAGGGTCCGTATTGCATGCTCGGGCCTGTTCTAGCTTGTCTTCGTTTCCTGGTTTACAGGGCGCATATTGCCATCGCACAAGACGCTCGGCGGATGACTCCAGCACTCTTTCAAGCTCGAGGTATGCTTGTACTCACTGGGCTCAGAGTAAGCACCAACTCATGATAGGAGACATGGCCACAAGAAAAAGTCTTGCTCAGCTACTTCGACTCAGGCTCGAGTTCACAGAATGAGTGGTGTTTTGCTGACATACAACCTCTTGATCCCACCTATAACCCGTTCTGAGCATACGGCGAAGTGCCAGTAAGATGAGGTGTCCACAAAGCCACCATCATGACAGCCTTTATCTCCCGTTCATTACGTGACGGCACCTTCAGACAACCAGCTACGGTACCTAGGTGTCTTTACGAATGCAATGGCGGCGTATTACCTGGACAAGGTCTCTGTCGAGCTGGTCGAGTCAGCTTGACTCGAGGACCTCGACGTGCTGGGGTCCACAGAAACTTCAAGTCTCCCCGCATTTCAGCACAAAATATGGAGCCCAAGTACGGAGTATTATTACCCCCGACCCACTCGATTCTCTAGAGGAGCGCCTCCCCAAAGCCGGCCGTTCGTTATACGACATGGGCCGGGACAATGTGTTGCCTCTGGTCGTTCTCCAATCAGATCGATGCGAATACGTGATTAGAATTCTCTGGCTGGAAGGCCATCGACAAGATCAACGGGAAGTCGATTCGATACTGTTCCACTTCTTACATCTCGCAGGCCCTGGGTTTAGGACGTGCAAGAAGGCACATAAGTACAGCACCGACCTAGTCTAATACATCTCATCCCATGCTTTTCAACCTTTCTTTCTCTGCCTGATTGTCACACTGCCTCATTGCACCATGTCGCTAACCTACTTACCCTGGGCTGTTGTTTCGGCAGGCGTGGCAACTCACCTCTTCTTCTTCAAAGTGGGCGAACGATGTCTGTACCCTACACGCTACCTCCAAGCATTTCTTTTTGGATGCATTGTCACGAGTGTGGCTAGGTCGCACTATGGCAATATCCCGACCACAGACGCCATTGCATTCACCGCCAAATATGCGTCGCTGTATCTGGCCGGCATCTACACCAGCCTGGTCGTTTATCGGCTCTTCTTCAATCCGCTGAACAAGATCCCGGGTCCATTCTGGGCGCGGTTGTCCAGATTCGATCTCGCCTTCCGCGTTGCGAGCAAGAGAAATACGTATCAACATCTGCTTGCTATGCACCAGAAGTATGGCAAATTCGTGCGCCTCGACCCCAACGGCATCTCTGTCACACACCCTGATGGCGTCGAAGTCATCAATGGCGTCAAATCCAAATGCACCAAAAGCGCATGGTATGGACAGGATCTTCCGTTCATTTCAATGCATACGTGCCGGGACCGAGCGCAGCATGACCGGCGGAGACGGATCTGGAGCCCTGCATTCAGTGACAAGGCTCTTCGGGGTTACGAAAATCGGGTGCAGAAGTATAACGACCTGCTTCTCCACAAGGTCGAAGAGTCAAAAGGTAAGTAATTGACTCCTTTTTGGTGCCCCGTTCCAACCTGGATCCAACTGACATTACCTCTGTAGGCGGTGCCATGGACGTGTCGAAATGGTTCAATCTGTACTCGTTCGATGTGATGGGCGATCTCGCCTTCGGTGCGGACAACCAGTGTCTCGAATCTGGGGAGATGCACTGGGCCATCAAGCTGCTCAATGATGGCATGGACCATCTCGGCTTGGGTCTGCCACCCTGGTTGTTTCGGCTCCTCGTAGCTATTCCCGGCGCAGCTGCAGATCACTTCCGCTTCGTCAGTTACTGTGCTGAACAACTTGACAAGCGGATCAAGATGCAAGGCAAGTTAGAGAACCCGGACATTGCACATACATTGGTCGAGCATTTTATCAAGTCGGATCCAGCAGCGCAAAAGGCCCAGCTGCCCATGTTGCAGGGCGACAGTCGGTTGATCATCGTCGCTGGTTCGGACACGACGGCAGCTACCCTGGTGCACTTGTTCTACCACATTGCCACGGAAAAGGGCCTTCTCGAGCGGTTGAGGAAAGAGCTGGATGGGTTGGTGAAGCCCGACGAGAAGATCGACTCGCAAAAGATCCAGGACGCCCCGCTGTTGAACGGAGCGATCAACGAGACCTTGAGACTTCACCCGCCTGTACCGAGTGGAGTGTTTCGAAAGACACCAAAGGAGGGGGTGGAGATTGGTGGTGTGTATATCCCTGGAGACACGGTGGTGCAGATGCCGCAATATGTCATGGGAAGAGGTGAGTTTCGATTTTTTGGTTACAAGTTCCCATCGAGCCATGAACTGCTTTGAGGTTCTCTCCTGTCTGTGTCCTGTTTTGTATTTCTTTCCTCTCCCCCTGTCCACCGTACACCATGTCCAGATTCAAATACTTCTTCATACCTTCGCTATATACTAACGGTTTGATGTCTACGATAGACCCGGACCTCTACCCCTCGCCCCTCGAATTCATTCCCGAGCGCCACTTCTCGCGCCCGGAGCTCATGCCCAACAAGGACGCGTTCCAGCCCTTCTCCA